GGTGTGCGCAACGGTGTGCGTCACGGAGTTTGTGTTTGTGACAGAGTGTGTAACGGTGTGTGTAACGGTGCGTGTAACGGTGTGTGTAATGGGCGCAGCTAATGGAGCGGGCCGTCCGTTACAATGACATGCGTAAGGTGATGAAATAGCGTATTGTTGACAACTCTGCCCTTAGTACGGGTACCACTCACCCAAAGGACGCGCTTCGCGTTCCCAATCATCCAGAGAAGATTGGAAGAACGAGCTCGTAGTCGTCTCGACAGGCTGTGGACAAGGAGAGAGATGGGTTGAGAAACGATGTCAGAGCTGTGGCCAGCAGAGAGTCTTGGGTAACTGCCACACTGCACGCTCACAAGGGGCAAGACGTCGTTGTCGTCCTTGTCCTCGTTGTACCTGAGGAAAAGAGGAGGAGGAGGAGGAGGAGGGATCGGCGAGGGAGGGCAAGATGGGGGTGGTGGGGTTGGAAGGCGTGCAAGGTTGGAAGGAGGAGGAGCAGCCGACATTGTGGATGGATGAAAAGGAAGGAAAGGTGAAGAAGAGCAATGTTGGAAGGAGGGGGAATGGCCGAGGGATCAGCGAGGGAGGGCAAGATGGGGGTGGTGGCGTTTGGGAAGGAGCAACCTGCCGAGGGATGGGTGAGGGAGGAGAAGATGGGGGTGGTGGCGTTGAAGGTGCAAGGTTGGAAGGAGGAGGAACAGCCGACATTGTTGATTGTCTTGTGAAGAGAAGGAAGGGCAAAGAAGAGGTGGCTGTTTGCTGAACTGGAGAGGGGGCCAAAGAAGGAGGAGAAGCATTGAGTGGTGTCGACAGAGTAGCGAGGCAAAGGGATAGATGTTGTTGTGGTGCATTTGTGGAGGGAGATGCTGTTTGCTGAGCTGGAGGGCAGAGAGCAACGAAGGAGCAGCAGCTTCCCAGTACAGTCTGAGATGCTCGAGATTGGAAAGGGGAAACAGAAGCGTGCTAGTTAGGGGTGAAGCAGTGAGGTAATAGAATATATGAGTGGCAGAGACAGCATGGCAGCACAAACACAATGCGAGCTTAACCACCAAGAAAGTGTGCAGTTGGTGTTCTGCACTTTGCCAAGTCAGAACACGCACAAAAAGTGGTGCAGAGCCTCTCCACAGGTCGCCTGTGTCCTTCTCCTTTCCAGGACAAACCTGACTGATCTAGTCACCCCAAAGTGGCGCCAGCAAGGTGAGTTGTAGAGATGGCAGGCACGATAGGAAGCCCAGTGAGGCTGGAAGCACACAAGCAAGCTCAGTAGAGGACAGGTCCTTTCTAGAAAGTGTGGAGTGCTTAGCTGGCATCATGAACAACCAGCTCAAGAGTCATCCATGTGTGGCACTGAGTATGCACAGAGCTGAGCCCAGTAAGTGCTTCTCTTCAGCCCATTGAGAGCCAGCCTTTCCTGCTCTAGTGAGCGCTTTGGAAGTCCTGCCAAGAAGGACAAACAATTGCTTCTCGAGTCAAGGCATGTTGAAGACAGATCTCTGAGGCCTTACAAAGGCTTCCATTATGTAGACCTGGAGGAGGGCCACCTGCACCCAGAAGTACTTTGTGTGTCTGTCTAGCCAGCCCTGTGAACACGCTTTGCCAGGCCAGAGGGGGAGCCAACACTCCTTCTGCTTTGTCCCAAGCTTTGGTCGTGTTTGGTCGTGCCATTTGATCCTGAATCAGACCATGTTGTCGACTGCTCCAGGCTGCCTCACCAAAGCTTCAAAGACGTCTATCTTTGTCAGAGTCCACTCAGCATGAACACAGCAAAGTTTGGCAAGGCCATTCACTAAGAGCACAGCTCATTGACTACTCTGCACCAGGCTCCTCTGACTGCTGTGAAGGCATGCTTATCCTGAGCATTGTTCAGGGCCACAGCTTTGATACTGAGGCCTCCACGTCTTGGTGGGCATCCCATTCCATCTTTCTAGCAGCTGAGGCAACCGCTTTGCAATGGTGCCAGGATGCTTCAGCTCTGTTGCCAGGTGAGTCAAGGCCAGTCAATGTTTCTTGAAGGTCAGCATCAAGATGGCTTCGCACATTTAGCTGTCAGTGGGACGCGAAAGTCGAGTGGTGTTGTTTGCTTGCGCGCGTCCTCATCGCAACTTTTTTTTCATCCTTCCAAGAAGAAAAAAAAAATCACGCAGCACGCGTTGTGGAAAACGCGTCCCGTGCGCGCGCGAGCGATTTTTTTCGAGCGATGCAGTTCGTCTCGAGAAGAAATTCAGAATGCCACCTGAGCATGCCACCACCACCACGACATTGCACCCAGACGAATGACCGCTCTGCGAGTCCATCTTCACAACCACTCAGAGCCGACGTACTTACGATCACCTCACTCATCATATCTGCAGCCTTCTCATTTTTTTTTTTCGAGGAGCAGTAATCGGCAGCTCAAAGCCTCTGCGCATTTCGCAGTCAGCACGAAATGTCTGCGAAAACTACGAGCTCTTCTGGAAGGGGCGCAAGTCCAGTGGATAGTCGTAACAAGAAGCGGAGACTAGAGCGTTCGTCAGAGGCACCTTCTCCGAGCGCAGAGCTGCCTTTAGGTCGTTACTTGGCTTCCCCCGGTGAGTCTTGTGGCCTCACATGTTCCATTGTCCGCATCAATCGACAGCTGATGACAGCTACTTGAAACAAAACGTGACAAAGACAAGCGAACGAGAGATCAAGCCTGTCAGAGCCTCAAGAGCTTCTTGACTCAACGCAGAGGTCAAGATGCTCTGCCCAAGGATGAGATGGCCAAGCTGTGGAAGGGCATCTTTTATTGTGAGTAGGGCGGCTAAGCTGCTGCGAATCTTGGATCCTCAGAGAGACAGCAAGAAGGAAAAGACCGAAAGCTTCAGCACGGCTCGGTTCCCATCTGGTTGACCAACGACCGCGACTCCTCAACCTGCCAGGTTTCTGGATGTCGGACAAACCTCGAGTGCAGCAAGCTCTTGCCCAAGAATTGGCGGATCTCGTACTTGCTATACCTCCCACAGAGCCCGGCGATGCGGAAGAGGTCGATGTTGAACAACCTTCTTTACCAGAACCTCGATGCGCACCCGCTCTCGCCTTTCTCGACGGCTTCTGGGATGCCATGATCAGGGAATGGTCGGCGCTTGATAAGTGGCGGTGAGTTTGCTCATCCAAGCGCCGGGCGGTGCGAATGCGGATTCTTTTCTGCTCCTTCTGAACCTGTAAGTGCTCACGCACTCACTTGCCTTTGCTTTGCAGTATGGATAAGTTCTATCTTCTGCTCAGACGATTTCTGAATGCTGGCTTGAGGTTGGTGGAGAGAGAACGATGGGATGCTGCCACCGTCGACGAGCTGTACAAGATGATGCGCAAATCTGGAGGTTGCCTAGAGTGAGTCGCGCTCGCTCAACCGGCGCACAGGGTAGAGAGAGCTGACTCGCCACGCTCGCACCTCGTCGAACAGCACCAACAATCCACAAGTGCCGGACAGCATTGCCTATCATCTCGCGGATATCTACCTTGACGAGCTCGAGCGGGCACTCACAGCGGCTGGTCGAGAGTCGAGCCCATCGGCCAAAGAACCAGTGGAACATGCTACGATCAGCAAGAGTCGCCCGGTCACACCGCTCGTTCTTCTATTGCAACCATTCGTCGATACCATCGCGACAACGCATAATGCAACGGTCTACACGCGTCTATACGAGAACGTCGTCGAGCCGGTGCTTGCCGATTGCCTTGTGCTGGGTTCCGCTTCAGACAAGGAGCATCCATCATCAACCGAGGAAGAGGATCTGGCACATCCTGAAATCATCAAAAGTTCGGTCGATGGCGAAGCAACTTTGGACGCAGGAGAAAATCTGAGGGCGCGAATATTTGAAAGTCTGTTCAAAACGGCTAGTCTGCCCAGCGCGAATGGAGCTCGCAGAGCCAAGCTGTATCGCCTATGGGAAGCGGAAAGGGCGAGGTTGGAGGAGTAGATGTAGTTCTGTCTGCCTCTGGATAGCCAGGAACGATTGGTCGGTCTGCGAAATTTTGTCAAATTTTCGAGTTCGCGCGAGCTGAAAATTTGTCGAATTTCCACCGATGAAATTCTTCAACGAAATCGATGGTGAGTTTTTCGAACTTCTCGGTTTGATCGGGTCCTCTCTATCATTCTTTTCATCCCACCCCCCGCTCTCTACTCATATCACCGAACCCTTTCTCAATGGTCCGCGTGCTTAACAAAGAGCGGACAGACCGACGCGATTGTAAAATCGCAAAAGCTCACTTACTCACGTCCGCGTCAACAAATGTGGCGCGCCGATGTCCTTTTTCAGGAGCTTACATTTCATCGATTTGCTTATCCCACAGATTGTTGCCGCGCGACAGGCTGCTTGTTTGCCGCAGAACAGACCTCATCTTTCGAGTGCAAGGAAATGGTCTTTGCAGATCGTCTCGCAGCATCGACCTAGAGCGACCAAGTGTCAAGAATCACGAGATCGGCAAATTCACCATACATGCATTCCGGCATATTAATTCTCCTCAAATGCTTCTCTCCATAAAGCGACTTTCGATCAATTTGCCTCTCCTTGGGCCTTCCGACGGTATCCTCACTCCAATACGATGTACTTTTGCAAGTGCTCGGGAATGGCCTTGACGAGATTTTTGGATTCCAGCCATTTGCGACTGAAGAGTCTCGCTTGATATCTGCGCTCAACAAGAGGTGCAGCATAAAGTAAAGACGGTGAAAAGGCACAGGAAGAGTCAGTCTAGGCCGTCTAGCCGACGTGCTAGTGTGCCACTCGCTGCGCGCTACGCACCTATAAGCACCATCGCAGAGGATCGTGACCACCGTGGATCCCTTGCCCAGCTTCTCGGCCATCCTTGCTGCAGCTACCACATTGAGAGCGGAAGACGCACCAATATAAAGGCCTTCCTCGTCCAGCGCTCTATAAACCATCTCGATGCTCGCTTCATCCTCGATGTGCAAGCTATCATCGATCAAGCCGATGTCCGGCTTGAGGTTCTCCGTCACTCGTCCTTGTCCGATGCCCTCCGTGATGCTTCCTCCCGATCTCTCTAGCAGCTCTCCGCCGCTTTGGATATACGAATGAAGAACCGATCCAGGAGGATCGGCCAACCAACATTGAATGCGACCTTGGCTTTTCTCTTTAAGATAACGGGTCACGCCGGCTAGCGTTCCTCCTGTACCCGTAGCGCAGATGAAGCCGTCCAAGTTACCACCGTTGGTCTGGGACCATATTTCTGGCCCAGTCGTCTCGATGTGAGCTCGCCTGTTGCCTCCTGGATTGTCGAATTGGTTGGTCCACACTGCATTGTCCAACTTTGCGGCGTGCCTCTTGGCTTGCCAATTGTAATTCATATCGTCCGACACCGGTACAGCTGGGCCGAGACAAAGATCAGATTAGGAACGGAACGGCGGTCTCGTCAGAGTCTTGCATCGAGGAGAGAGAATTGCGCACAATGCGAACCACTGACCTGGCACCGGGTACACCTCTGCACCCAACATTCGAAGCAGATCGATCTTCTCTTGACTCTGCGTGTTGGGCATGTAGATCACGCACTTGTATCCCTTTGAGCGGCTGTCCAAATCGGCAGGCGCGCAAAAAGTCAGCATACCGATCGAGCGCCACGAAGAAGAGCTGATCCTTGTCCATGATCAATGATGATGACAATGCTCACCAAGCATGTGCAAGGCCGATACCTGATCGGACGAACGAATGCAAAGAGGAGCGAGATGGTTCATCTGGTCAGGAGGGGCTGCGATGCTGATCAGCGCATGTGTCAGCTCACCCGTGTTACCCGCTGTGCCCTCCACGATGGTGCCGCCAGGCTTGACCAGGCCTGTGATGAGGAGAAGAGTGTGAATCAACGCCAAGCCGATGCCTTGCCTGCAGAATCTGCCATTACCGTTCTCGCCACCTCGTGCTTGCAGAAAGACGCACCTTGTTCCTCGGCATTCAAGATGAGGTAATGGGCAGCCCTATCTTTGACGCTCCCACCAGGATTTTGAAATTCAGCTTTGCCCAGCACATTAGCTCCGATACGATCGCTGAGAGCGTTGAGTCTGATGAGAGGTGTGTTGCCTATCGCCCCGATGAAACCAGAGACGGGAGGAGCGTTGGTGATGAATGCCGGACCAGATTTGGCTGATGCTACGCCGAGGGCATTGTTGTTGGAGGTGGAGCTGCTGGTGCTCAGAGCGCGAGAAGCGCCGGTTGAGGCTGCAGTGGATGTCATGCTGAGCCCGGTACTGCTGCTCATTCCGTATGAAGTTGCTTGGAGTCTCGCTGGGATGAGTGGCTGAGCGACACGCAGATGAGAAAAGGTGCGCCCGACGGACATGCTGTGTGGAGAAGGTCGATCTGGCAATCGCAAGTGCCTGCCCGTTTGTCAAATGTCGCTGATTGGTGGCAGAGATTCAAGGCTTGTCAGGGAGTTGTGGGAGAGCGAAGGACCAATCCGATGATGCTAGTCAAAGCGCTTTGGTCACTTTGATTGGAGCCAGCAATTGCATGACTCGTGATTGACGTCAGCATGCCATTCGAATGCAAGCCAAGATCTGTGGAAATCGCGAGCACGCCTTTTCGCAGCGCATATGATCGCAGCGCGTCGGGAAGTTTTGCGAAGGCGAGAACACGTGAGGTGAAGGACGCGCGGTCTGATCGCGTCTCCGCATGTGCACTTGCGTAAATCGCGAATGTGAATGTGAATCAAATCACATCCTCATCCCCAAATAGACGCGTTGCCGAAAGATCCCGTGTTAGGGGCCACAACCGCTTCGACCATCATCTTTGTCACATTTCAGCTTGATGAGGGTTACACAAGCACGCAGACGGGCATGCGCATTCTTTGACACACCATCAATCATTCGACCCCAGCAGTAGGCGAAGGTGCAGCTGCGACTGCGATCCAAGCGATCATTGGCGTTGCCCGCGCTAGGTCCGAAAGCGACAGAGTCTGACTCCACCGCAAACTTCACCTTGACCTCAACCTTGGCACTTGCTCGCTACCAGCACCACGGCACATACCAGCATTTGAGATCAGTCCTTCGACACAGACGACATGGTCAAGCGACGTCGCAAGACCTCCAATCTGCTCGACGTCGAGTCCACAGTCGAAGGTGCAGCAACAACAGCAGCGGACTCGGACCACGCACAGAGAAACGCAGCATCAAGCAGCGCTCTAAGCCTCACTCCCTCTGATCCTGTTGGCTCCACTTCCAGTGCCCAGGACGCTGACTCCGCTAGGCAGTCCGACCAAAGTGCTTCACAAGGTAATAGCGGCAGCTTGAGGAGATTGACGAGTCGATTGAGCTCCGTCTTCTCCAAATTTGGCTCGCCGCGCAAAAGGCAGCGTGTAGATTTGCTCCCTGACGGTCGAGAGGAAGACAGCGGCGTCGACGTCAAACGCTTGGCACCAGCTTCACGCACAAGTCCCAAGAGGATTTTGGAAATGCGATCAGTGGCGCCATTCCCCGCAACACTGGGCGGCGCGTCTCCTTCCGGCTCTCAATCCCTACCTCGTCCTGCTTTACGACCGGCCCCTAGCGTTCGAGAAATAGCAAAGCTGTTCAAGGACGACGAAGCGATAGCGGCAGAGGAGAAGAGCGTGCATTTTCCTTCTGGACTGGCAAGCAACGAACAGAGCGCAGGTAGTTCACCCACCACGAGCAGGGAGGAAGAGGGAGAATTGAGCTACATCGATGAGCAGGAGATCGACGAGGTGGAGAGATCTTTGATTGGAGATGCACCCGAAGAGGAAGAGGAGAGCGAATCAGGATCAGAAGACGTCGAGCTGGACAGGCATCGAGAAGCGGATGATGATAAATCAGGCGACGATGAGCCGCTTGGCGATGGGACTAGCGGGCCTGAGAGCTCCGAGGCTCACTATGCGGGAGAGGAGGGAGCGGACCGCGATGCACGAGACGACGACTCTGCTACAATTGAGGATGGTGATGTAGCTACGCATCAAGAACAGCTTGAGGGAGAGCTGCTTACGCAGGAGGAAGTTCCAGAGATTGAAGACCCAGCTGAACCCGCCAATGGTCACCGCGAGCCATCGTCGGATGTGGTCCACGCTCATTCGCCGAGTCAGAAAGAAAGCGAGGAGCTGCCAGACGGTGAAGAGGCGGAATTAGCGGCAGGAGAGACGGAGTCCGCTCAGATGTTGGGGGAACACGTGCTTGAAGCGCCGGGTGAAATCACGGAGGCGAATGCCGCCAAAGAGGCCATCGCTTCCACTTCCTCTCGTCCAGGCATGCTCACACAAGACGCCTCGACGCCTCTCGCAAGCCAAACAGCGAATGTATCGACCTCCGAATCGCCTTTGCGCGCGGCTTCAGACTCATTGTCCATGCCGGTGCCTGCCAAACTGGTCAGTGCTCTGTCTCCACACACTCGAAGTCCCCGCTTCAACAAAATGCGTTCACGCGTACCGCAGGGATCCGGCAGTGCGCTCGCGAGTGCTGCACATGCCGAGTCAGGTCCTGCTTCTGTGACAGTAACTTCGGGCGATGCGTCGGTCAGTGGCGACACCACAGCTGTCTCTGCCACAACTTCCGGCGCGCAAGCCGAGATTGCTACCGAAACGAGCGGAGATGTCAATGGTGCTTCGAGCGACAGTAGCGAAAATCAGGATCGATCGGCGACCACTGGTAGCGGGTCGCCTCTCTATCCGGACCTCTCGACCAAGCTTAACGGCCGTCTCGAAACGCAGGCAAACAGTAGTGAGGCTGCCGGATTGAGCAGCGCATTGTATCCAGACCTTTCCGCGGATATCAATGACCGTGTGCGCCCAGTCGAGCACGAGATCCAGGGCGAGGAGCAATCTCCACATCACGAGCGTGGGCCTTCGACACGTCAGAATGGCGCAGCCAGCACAGGTCCGAGAGAGGATGAAGAGGAAGGCGAGGAAGACGAGGAAGACGAGGAAGAAGACGAAAGTATTCTGATACCGCGACTCTCCTCGACGACGTCCATCGCGCAACATGTGCGTCGCACGAGCTCTTTCCGCAGCCTTTCCGAGTCCGCTTCCCAGACGTTGGCCAACTGGGCTGGTAAAGCATCGCAGGTCGCCTCTGAAGCGATTGCAGATGCGGTGGACGCTGCAGGTGTGCCCGTCGCTCAAGGAGAGGAGTCTGTAATCTTGTATGCTAGGCAGAATGGCAAGGGCGATGTGGAGGAGACTCAGCTTCCTTCGTCTGACCTTCTCACCGGACCTGCCTTCGATGACACTGACACGGACCGACAAACCTTGGAAAGCGCTAAGCAGCGCCGAGCAGGCGCGAGCTCATCTGCGGAGTCTCGATCTGAGGACAAGGTTGAACAGCCTCGGAGCGAAGAACACCAAAGCTCGCCGAGCGGGCATTCCGATCAAGAAAACCTTTTCGACCCAGCGCTGCTGCTTAGCAACACGACAGCATCAGCAGGAGAGACGATCGACTTGACTGGAGATTCTGGTGACGAGGTCGTCGGCCATGCTCTGCCTCTGGTCAGGCCAGGACTGCCGCGCAAAGCTTCCTTGATCCCTCGACCAGCTTTGACCGAGATACCTCCTCCCGTTTCGCATCCACGAGCACCGCGAAAATCAGCGGGACATATTCCCCAGGGCCCACCAGCTCGTTTCCATTCTTCAGGGGCGCACTCCATTGGCAGAAGCCCTTCTGTTCTCTCCGACGCTCGTGAGAGCAGTCTGGTTCCATCGGGATCTGCCGTTGCAACGATCCAGCGATTGGGCGGCACATCGCTCAGACCGAGTCCTAGTCCCTTTGGCTCTTCCATCCGAGGTTCGCGCATCCCTCGAAGGGTGGGCGCCTACAAGAGTCGAAAGAAAGATCCGATTGGAATGAAGGAGCATCTGGTCTCGCAAGCCGAACGTAATCAACAATTGTGTCGGAGGCACATCAAGCGTCTCACAGATCAGCTTCAGCGCAAGACGAACTATACGCAGGAACAGGTGCAGGAGCGTTTGGACTACCAGTTCAGAACGGATCATGCTGCCGATGTCGAGAAGGTGAGATGCGTTGCGCAAATCTTGGAGCATGCTTGTCACGCAACGCTGACGAGTCCACGTGCTCTCCTCTCTGCGCAGCGTGGTCGCGCTTTTGCTGAGAATGTGCCTCCAGAGGAGCGCCTTTTGAGACTGCTACAAGCGGACTTGGATCGACTGACGCGAGCACAGCGTTCCAAGTTGCAGCCTTCGCGCTCAGAGCAGAAGACGCTTAATCGTCTAGTGTTGGAGGAAAAGTTGCGTGAGAAGCGTCTGCGCGGCATTCTCGGGAGACAGCCTGTGAGTCTCGCTCCTACAGGTTGCGCCGCGTGATCAACGTTCTGTGTGTTGCTTACGCAGAGCTCCGCTTCAGATGCCTGATCGCCTGGATGAGGAACAAGAGCGAGAAGTCCGGCACATTCTCGCTGATTCGACTTTTGAGAAACAAATCTCTGGCGCAATAGTCAACAATCGGAACCTGCAGCGGCTGAGACCGGGCCAATGGCTAGATGACGAATCCATCAACTTTTACGCCGTGCTGATCAACAACCGCTCGAACGATATGCGAGAATTGCGAGCGGCTGGTCGTGCAGCTCAGAAGAACCTCGCACTCGAAGGGTCCCGGGCTGATTCGGGAACCCGAAAAGCGCTCGAAGGGGAGAGGAAGCGCGCGAAAAAGGCACAGGGATACTGGGATGTGCACGCCTTTCAGACGCACATGTTTGTGAAGATTCAAAGAGAAGGTCATGCGGGTGTCAAGCGATGGACCAAGAAGGTGAGCCCTCGCTATGGGTTTCAGTTAGAGCGGAGCATGGCTGACTTGCAGCAATCGATGGCAGGTCGACGTGTTCTCCAAGGATCGAATCATCTTCCCAGTCAATCGGAGCAACAGTCATTGGGTCACGGCTGCGATCAATTTGCGTCAGCGGCGCTTCGAGTTTTACGATTCGATGACTGGAGGATGGGCACACGATGCTGCGCACGCACTGAGGGCGTGGCTGGAAGCCGAATGGCTCGCCAAAAAAGCGTCTTCTTTCGATGGCAAGACGTTGGACACCAGCGGATGGGACGTGTACGACTGCCCCACGAACCCTCAGCAGGAAAACGGCTCGGATTGCGGCGTCTTTACGGTTCTCATGATGGAGCACCTTTCCAGAAGGGACCCTTGGTTGCCCTTTCCTGATCCGCCGGCGCTCGACTTGGTGCAGATGCTGGAAGCTTCGCAACAAGAGGCCGCGTTCGGTCGCGACGCGAGTCTGGATGAAGATTTGCGCGAAATGGAGTGGAACTTTGCTCAGAGCAATGTGCCATACTACCGGAGACGCATGATCTGGGAACTCGGCAATGCTACCTTGCTCGAATGATGGCAGAGTCGCCATGCCCTTTCGATCGATTCGGCACTTTGATCTGCGCAGTCGCGCAGCTGCCTAGTCAGACGCAATTCATCCATTACAGAGGCTTTCCCCTGACAGTTTCGATGAACTGCTCTCGGCTCTGAGCCAGTCGCCGCTGGCGTTTGAGGTGTAGCGTGCCATGATCTTCTAATCGCTTGGTCGAGTGCGTCGTTTGCGTTCCGGCTTGGCTCGACGGCACGCAGTCGTGGAATGAAGGCGATGCAAGCTCGAGGTGTGCATGCGCAACGTCGGGAGTGAGAGATTTGAAGCGCAGTCGCGTACGCCCTCGAGGAGATGTTGCTTGGCCGTCATGCCAATGTCGTTTTCCTCGGTCTCTTGCGCTGCGATCCGGCAGAGCCCGGTAGGAGCTACCGGTGCTCAGCGCCGACCGAGTTGCGGTCGAAGCGGCGGCGAAGCGTCTAAAGAGAGAGCGCCGCTGTGCTGCGTTTCTGAGCTTGATGCGACGTGACACTTCGTCGAGCTTGAAGAAGCAGCAGAAAGTCTGGTCGTTTTGCTTGGTGCACAAGTCAAGCATGATCGCAGCGGAAACAGAATCAATCCAGACTTGAGGGAATGTCCCCTTCGACGCTCTCTACGCCGCGTGTCTCCTGATCCGATGCAGAGATTTCTCCTCGACCCATGTCAAAGTACATTCGCTGACCCACATCTTTGACCAGCCAGTCGATACCTTCTTGCAGACCTTGTCCGGTAATGGCGCTGCAAGGCTGGATCCTCCAACTGTGCGTCTTGCTGAGGTCTTGCAGAGTCAGACTGGCTGATATTTCTTGAGCAGACAAGGAACCTGAAATGTCTTGCTTATTTGCAAAGATGAGGATGGATGCTCCTGCTAGACGCTTCAAGCGCAATCGAAGGTGACGGATTGCACAGAATGTGGAGAAGAAAGGATTGAGCTTAGGCGTAAGAAGGGTTCGTGCGCAAGGAGCGAAGAAGACACTCGAAAGCAACAGGGGGAAGAACATTCGAAGCGACACCCACCTCTTCACCGACTACCGATCGAAGTTCTTGCTTTGCATCGTCCAATCTCTGTCTGTCCCCTGAATCGACGACCCAAATAAGCGCATCTGTTCGCTCGAAATAATTTCTCCAGTACGGTCTAAGAGACTTTTGACCACCAATGTCCCAAATATTGAGCGTGTAGCTGGCGTTTGTATAGTAAGGGCAGGCGAAGTAGCGAAAGCGTGAGCTGCATCAGCATTTCGACGTCGATACGTTGGTAGGACTTGTAGAATGCCCCCACTCGCAACGCACCCGAGATGAACGATGCTCCTGATATCAAAGCCCAACGTAGGGCTCACATCATCCGTGCTTTCGCCCAGCAAGCTCCTCACAATGGTAGATTTGCCGGAATTGTCCAAACCCAAGAACAGGTGTCTCTGTTCCCTATCCTTGTCTGATCATCGTGCCCCCCGCCCCCGCGCGCGCGCGCCCATATCAGGTTTCCCCCAGACCGCACAGGCAGACAAGGTGAGATGGCGTGCGTAGGAATGGCACGAGACTTTTTCCTGCGCTTTAGATGGACTCACGCTTGTTCTTGCGTATGATGGTCAGCAGACCCATGATTAGCAGAACCCAGTTAAGCTTCAAGGGAACCGACAATGGGGCGAGAAGATGAGGTCGTTGGAAGCTATCAAACTCGTGAGATTCGAGATTCACGATTGGTGCCTCGTTGATCGCTCTGTGCTCGACGTGTTGCCCAACCGAGCGTGCGCATGTAGCTCTGATGAAAGTGCCAAAAGTGCGAGTCCCAGAGGAATTGTTGATCGAAGCCTGCGCATGAGCTGAAGTTGTCAAGGTAAGTACTGTTAGTAGTAGTCGTGAGCCGTCACTCATTGACTCTTGACTACAACAACACCGCCGTGCAACTCGCAAGCACGACTCGATCTGGACTCTTGCCTGCAAACAATGCGATCAACTTGCACGTCACGTGTTCCCGACCGGGTCAGTCAACCACGCGCACATATTATTGATCAAGAATATGCAGATCCACAAGAGTTGAAATCTTGGAACACGATCGAGATTCAAGGTTCAAGATTTGAACTTCTTCCAGATATGCTGTATGGACTTAATGCCGAGTCAAGTGCGTGCGGGTGGAGACCTTTCCGCGGGAAATGAAGGACGAAGGACGCGTCATCAGCAGCATACATGCGCTCAATAAAGCTCGGGACTGCAGCGGCGCGATCGCGCGTGCGCGGCACTCTCTTCATGTACGCGCGGCCCGCCGCCGCGACGTACGCAGAGTAAGCTGACGCACGTACGCGCGAACGCGCATCCCCTTGCCGAGTTCACGATCGATTGTGATTTGGGTGATGATGTCGCAGGTGGATCGCCGCGTTTCCTATCGTGAATCACCTTGAGGTATAGGGCGCACTGCAATAACATATGCACCCGCGACCGCCGTAAAGGAAGCCCGATCGAGTGAATGCTTTGTAAAGCTCGCAGCGGCACAGGGACATCAGACGCGAGCCCTGATGGGCTGCTGAGCAGCGCGGCTTCCATCGATGCGTCCGGTGTTCTCGCCGGTTCCTGAGCTGAGCCATCACGATCCTCGATGCAGCAGCAGCAGGCAGCTATACATATACGCGCACACTCACAATTTGACCGGAGCCTCAGCTGCAATGTTTGCTCGTCCCACGAATGCGAGTGCGAGTGCGAGGGGAGAGATAGGGTGGTTGTGTTGCTCGGCAGCCATCCCCCGCGCTTGCATGAGGAGTCCGAGTCCCTGCATGCCTGCCTGCCTGCCTGCCTGCCTGACTGCCTGCCTGCCTGCATGCAATCGTCCATTTGCATGGCGGATCTTGAAAACTTGTGTCGGACAGATCAATCGTGCGAGTCGATCCAGCAAGCGCGGTCATGGTGCGGCGTCATCTGCGGACCCTGGTGCCTTGGCTGTAGCCCTGCAGCTGCCGGAGTTCTCCTTCTTCATGCTGCCCGCACACGTCAAACTGCCACCGGACATAGCGAGATGAGATGACTTGCGTTCCGTTGACTTCCGTGCGCTCCCAGGCGCTCAGTCTCGAATCCTTACTGACTGAGCCCGGCGCTTAGCACCCCTTCAGCAGATATCAACGCTTCACCAAAGGCCCGCGCAAGCGCTCCCCAGCAGTGCTGAGCAGCTTACATGAAAGCAACATTCCCATCAACCGTTCATGCTCTCGCGCCGGATATGCAGCAAGCCCGGGCTGAGAGTGCTTGCGAGTCGCAAGTGCGTGGACATCTATACAATCAGTGACTCGTGAAGCAAATGTCAAGAGTGCATAAGCGCAAGGATACCGTTCGAGCAAGGGGCTAATCTGGAGAGAACACCTCGCAAGCCGCGGCATCCCGGCACGTATTCGCTGCTGCTGCTGATGCTTATGCATGCTGCCTGCATGCATGCACGCGTACACAAAGCTCAGCTCGACCTGCCGCTGGACCCCGCCGCTGATGACTTGATCCTTAGCACCGGCCGGCCAGTGCTGCGATGGTCCGACTCAAGACTAGAGACATCCCCGTCGTCACCACATAAAAGGCATCTTCCGTTTGCTGTGCGCCCAATGTCCACCAGCACCCTTCGATTTGTCAGCCAACACACCTTTTTCCTCCATCGATCACCTTTCCCTGCTTCCCATGTGTTGATCCAACCTCTCATCCTCTCTCCATATCCTCGCCATACCACCTGAGCTCGCATCTGCAAGCTCGCCATGGCACCCATCACTCATCATGAGTCCGCAGGGAGCACCAGCAGCAACAGCTCAGAGGACGATGCTGCAAAGAGACAATCAGCACTGACCATGGTTCCTCGTCGCAGCCAAGCTGCCGATGACGATGATGATAACGAGAAAGCTGGTGACAAGGGCAAGCGTGGGTCGGCGCCCAGCTCGGAAGAAGGCCATGCGGAGTCCGACAAGGTGCTGGACGAAAAGGCGAATGCCAGACAAGCGGACGTCACACCGGAGCAGTTTGTCTACCAGCCCGGGCAACGGAACCTGGTGCACATCAAGCAACGCGAACGTTTCTACCAATTTTGGAGACCTCGTCATTTGCCACCTCCGCCTCCTGCCTCGATGGACGATGCCAAGTTGATTCCCCTCGCTACCGCCAATCTCTTTTCGCAAATGACCTTTTGGTGGGCCAACCACATTATGATTTTGGGCTACCAAAGAGCGCTAGAAGCTACAGATTTGTGGAAGTTGGAGCCTCAAAACGAGCCGGATGTATTGAGCGACAAGCTGCTGGAATCGTGGGACCGTCGCGTGGCGGAAGCCGAGGCTTACAACGCCAAACTTGTGAGCGGAGAGATGGCCGTCGGTTGGAAGAGGAGAACAAAATGGAAGATTGCTGCTGCGCTCGGAAAAGGTCCAAAAGGCGGCTTGGCAGAACGAGAAAAGCTCTGGCGAGCTCCTCACCCTCCAGCTCCTAGACCCAAGGCTCCCGCTGGTAAGCCTGCACCTGGCAGCAAACCCCCGCCTCCGCCCAAGAGGCCGCAATCTTGGAGCGGTCACATGGAACCGTCGCTCGCGTGGGCTGTGTTGGACCAATTCAAGGCGAGATCCTTGTTGGCAATCTTTGTCAAGCTCATTGCAGATGCAGGTGAGTGACGTCCCTCAAATGACGATCTTTGATACCGTGCAGTGGAGGATGAAATCGGTGGCCAAGGTCCGTGTTGTGACGCTGACTACCTTTTGTGCCTCGTTTGCTTTGCTCCGCAGCTCAAATGACGTCGCCGCTTCTAATCCGCACCATCGTCGACTACTCTGGCAAGGCATACGCACACTTTCAACTACCGCAGGCTTTCCCAGCACCCAATGTCGGAGTTGGTGTCGCGTACGCCATTGCCATTTTCGCGCTCCAAATCGTGCAATCCATCGCCCAGCATGCCTTCTTCCACCAGAGCATGACGATGGGTGTGCATGCGCGCACTGCCTTGATCTCGGCCATGTTCAAGCGCGCCACGAAAGTCGGAGCAAAGGACCGATCACCCGGCCGCCTACTCACCATGGCGTCGACCGACGTCTCGCGCATCGACTTTGCTTTCCAATGGGGCCTGCTTATGTTCACATCACCGGTGGCGTTGGGTCTGTGCCTCGGTCTGCTCATCTGGCAAATCAAAGAGTCCGCATTGGCAGGCTTTGCTGTTCTGGTCTTTGCTTTCCCTGTTCAAGCCGTCATCTTCAAGCGCTTGTTCCAAACGAGAAGCAAGAGCATGCAATTCACGGACAAGCGAGGGAAGCTAATCAATGAACTGCTCTCCTCCATCAGAGTGGTCAAGGCTTTTGCTCAAGAGCACATGTTCCTCGACCGCATCGTCCAGATTCGCCAAAAGGAGCTGCAAGGTATCAGAGAGTTGGTCATTTGGCGCAGCGGTCTGATGGCCTTCGCCTTCACCCTCCCTACCATTGCTGCCATCGTTGGCTTCCTGGTATACAGCGCACTCGGCAACGACGTCAGCGGTGCTGGCGCTGGACGTACAGGAGAAGTCTTTACAGCGCTGACCCTGTTCGCCCTGCTTCGCATGCCGTTGATGTTCTTGCCGTTGGCCATTTCCAGTACCGCAGATGCGTGGGCCGCCATTGCGCGATTGACACCCGTGTTCGAGGCGCCTTTCTTGGTTGACCGTTCAGAGAAGGACCCAGAGTCGAAATTTGCCGTCGTCCTGGAGGACGCTTGCTTTGAGTACGATGAGGTCGACCCCAATGTGGCCGCCAGCGTCGATACCGGCAAAACGAAGTCATCTGCTACGGTCGAACCTGGCCAGACCCAGGCTGCAGAGAGCGACAAGGCAAAGCCGCCCGGCTTCATTCGACGCCTTTTCAACTCTCGTAATGGTGACGCGCCCAAGGCAGCACCTCCTGCGCCCATTACCGACTTGCCGCAACCGGCTACCGCCACAGCGACTAGGCAACGCGAGACTGGCCTTGCGCTTCCACCCGCACCCGAGAAAGCTCTTGAGGACGAAGCTGAGCAGAGCGCAAAGCCGTTCAAGCTCGAGAATCTGAATCTGAGAGTCGCAGAGGGCGAGCTCATCGCCATCGTCGGACCGGTGGGTAGCGGCAAATCGTCCATCCTGCAAGGACTTGCTGGAGAAATGCGACAGACGAGCGGTAGATTGATCTGGGGCGGCTCGGGCTCGACTGCCTACTCTGCTCAGCAGCCTTGGATCCAAGCTGCGACTGTACGGGAGAACATCACATTTGGTCTCCCCTTCGAGGAGGAACGCTACTGGGAGGTCATCAAGATGGCTGAGCTCGAAGCGGATCTGCTCATCCTGCCTCAGGGGGACCTGACTGGCATTGGTGAGCGCGGTACTACGCTCAGCGGTGGACAGAAAGCTCGTGTCAATTTGGCCAGAGCCATCTACTTCGATGCCAGCACACTACTGCTCGATGATCCTCTGAGCGCGGTCGACCCCCACGTCGCGAAGAAGCTCTTCCAAACCATCTTGCAGCTGCGAGCGCAGGGCAGGACGGTAATTCTCGTCACCCACGCTGTCCACCTCTTGCCGCAGTGCGACCGCATCGTCACCATGCTCGATGGTCACGTTGCGGAGCTGGGCACATACGACGACCTTGCACACGCGGACGGTCCCTTCCAGCGGCTCATTGAGGAGTTTGGAGGTGAGGAGGAGGAGGAGGAGGAAGAGCATTTGGAGGATGAAGGAGAGGCTATTGATGATGTCGGTCTGGAAAAGTCTAGAGTTGGCCGCAAGAAGCTCATCAGGCGGGAAGACATGACGGACGCTTCTGGCGACAAGACCAAAGCCCTCATGGAGACGGAAGAGCGCAATACCGGGTCTATCAGTCTCAAGGTTTACGTCGCGTACTTCAAGGCGGGTCGAGGAGAAATTCTTGTGCCTGCCATCATCATCTCGCTCATTCTCATGCAAGGCGCCTCCGTCATGAACCAGTACAGTATCAACTGGTGGCTTTCCGACACCCTTGGCTTGCCTGTGGGCGCATATGAAGGCATCTATGGCGCTCTGGGTGGCATTCAAGCCGTATTCACGATGTTTATGGGCCTGACGACTGGCTATTTGACCTACTACTCCGCTGCTAGACTTCACAACGATGCGATCGAGCGCATCATCTACGCGCCCCTGTCCAAGTTCTTTGACGTCACGCCAAAGGGCCGCATCCAGAACCGCTTGTCCAAGGATGTCGACACGACGGACAATATTCTCAGCGACTCTTTCCGCATGGCTGCAACTACGATGGCGCAGGTGATTGGAAGCATCATCCTGATTGCCTACCTGACGCCTTATTTCTTGATCGCCGTTGCCGGTCTGCTGGTCTTCTACGGTGCTGGTGCCGCCGTCTACCGGCGATCTGCGCGTGAGACCAAGCGTATTGATGCAGTGCTGCGCTCGGACTTGTACGCACACTACTCGGAGACGCTGGGCGGTATGGCAACCGTGCGCTCCTATGGCGTACTCAAGAGATTCATCAACGACCACCTTCGTCACATGTCCCACGAAGCTCGCGCTTACTACTTTACCACCGTGAATCAGCGCTGGCTGGGTGTCCGCCTAGACATTCTCGGCTCCGTCCTCGTCTTTGTTGTTGCTCTGCTCACCACCGCAGGGGCTAATTCGGGTCTGTCGCCGGCGCAGACAGGTCTGGCACTGTCTTACATTCTCACCGTCAGTCAGAGCTTCTCGTGGATGACGCGTCAAATTGCAGAAGTGGAGAACGACATGTCTTCCGTCGAGCGCATTCACCATTACGCCACTGCTATCGAGCAAGAAGCACCGCAGGTCATCCCAGAAGCCAATCTGCCTCGAGAGTGGCCTCAACAAGGACAGATCAGCCTTTGCGATGTTCAGCTGCAGTACAGAGAGGGTTTACCGATCGTCCTGAAGGGTGTCAGCATGGACATTCGAGCGGGCGAAAAGGTAGGAATCGTTGGACGGACGGGTAGCGGCAAGAGCACGTTGCTGACCGCTCTGCTGAGACTGGTCGAGCTGCACGCCGGCAGCATCACCATCGATGGTGTGGACATTTCCAAGATCGGTCTGCGTGACCTTCGTCAGAGGATCGCTTTGCTACCGCAAGATCCTGTATTGTACAGCGGCACGCTGCGATCCAACCTCGATCCCTTCAACGAGTACGACGATGCGAGGTTGTGGGACGCTGTACGCCGCTCTCATCTGGTCGAAGACTCTAGTCGAGGCCAGTCGCGCGCGCCTAGCGGTCATGCCACGCCCACGGGCATCGCACCCGACGAAGAGGGAGCTGAAGAGAGCAACAAGACTTCCTTCAATCTCGAGACGGCCATCGAGGAGGAGGGTCAAAACCTGAGCGTGGGACAGCGCTCCCTCGTCTCGCTCGCCCGCGCCCTGGTCAAGGATTCGAAGATCATCCTTTTGGACGAAGCGACGGCTTCTGTGGACGTCGAGAACGATGCCAAGATCCAGCAAACTTTGGCAGAGGCTTTCCACGATCGCACGATGCTGGTCATTGCGCACCGTCTAAGGACCATCTTGAGTCTGGACAGGGTGGCAGTGTTCGATGCGGGCCAACTGGCAGAGTACGCTTCTCCACTCGAGCTGTTTGATCGACCAGCTGGCATCTTTAGGTCCATGTGCGAGAGAGCCAACATCCCTAGAGAAGACGTGGTCAAGGCCTCGTCGAGAACGTCCGAGTACGGACTCTAATATCCATCCACACGAACCGCGTGGCTTGACTTCACCGCGCGATTCTCTCAACATGGTCTGCATGCCTGCACATCCCTGCGGAAAAGCCCTGCACATATTTCACTTGTATCACGAACACTTTACGGACTGTTTTTCACGCACAAAGTTCTTGTAGAGTCTTGGAGAGAGGCGGATGACGCCACAATTGTGTATGCGAGTAATCATGATTTTCTTGCGCCTTGTGCCAGCTCCTGCTGCGGCACTGTCCTGCGATTTCTTGGGATGGTGGACGGGTAGGTGGGGGATCGCGCGCGCGCGCGCGGAGAACAGACCGAATATTTCTCTCGTGCGGAAGGGGTTTTTTGGAAGGAGCGACAAGCGTGACTCGACGGCGAGGGATCATGTTGGCGAGAAGGGGGGAGGTCATTTTTGGCTTTCCTGCTTTATCACTCTCAACACCTGCACAGCGACTTGGGGCGCAGATTTGCGGGCGCGCGAGAAGCAAAAATCGAGCCTGGTTGAGACGTACTCTGACCGGAACTCGTATGGAAAGGAGAGGCAAAGGGAGGCAAGACGAGATGCCCGTCTCGGATCTTCAAGGCATGCTTTCGGGCATGGAGCCGACGCTCCACGTCGAGCCGTACGTCTACCTCATCTTTTCCAACGAATCACCTCCCTCTTTTCCCTTGCTGGGGCCCGGGGGACGCGCCATCATTCCGTTTGCTCAGATCGCAGAAGATGAAGAAGGAACGACGTTGATCGTGCGTCGAGCAGAAGCTGAAGCTTTGAATCGCAGGCCTGATTTCGTAGCGAGACGCATCACGCTCAAGGTTCACTCGGCTCTGCAAGGTGTGGGATTGACCGCTGCTGTGTCTGCTCGGCTCACCCAGCTCGGCATCTCGTGCAACGTGATTGCGGCAGGCAGACACGATCATCTTTTTGTGGATGTGGAAAGAGGAGAAGATGCTTTGGAAGCGTTGAGACGACTTTCCCAAGAGGCGAGAGAGGGATGAAACCAAAGGGGCATCGACAAGGAGGAGGGGGGAAAGATCTTTGGTAGGATTATTGGTGCACCCAACCTCCGTCCAACGACCAGCACTTGGAAGTGATGTATGAATTGGTCAGCAGCAATAAGACCTGTCCAGGCAGTGGAGGTCGCAATCAGCATGATTCAAAAGGGGGCAACATTGGCACACCTATCCAAGCAAGCGGCACGACTTTGGCTCCTCTATTGTCATCACGAAGCACGAATGCTTGAACTCACTACGTCAGCCACCTCCTCTACCGTGCCCAACCTTCCAATCGGGATGTTCTTTTGCAACGCATCCTTCATCTCGGGCTTCTCGTCAGTGTTGATCATACCGGTTCCTGTGCGCATGGATGGTGCAGAGTGGGAACAGCAGATGGAGATGAGCCATGCAGACTCTTCGCAATGGCCGTCCGCCGCGGCACTCACCGTCGATGAGAGCAGGAGCAACAGCATTGACAGTGACTCCCTCTTTGGCATACCGATTTGCCGCCCAACGCATCATTCCATGCAGCGCCGATTTGGAAGAAGAGTAATGTGGACCTATCACACCGCCCGTCAGAGCTGCTACGGAGCTGCAATAGATGATTCTTCCGTATCCCCTAGAAGCCATCTCCTTGATGCAGCACTTTGTCAGCACAAAAGGACTCAGCGTGTTGGCCTTGTGAAAAGATGATTTTGTTTGGCTTGGTGTGAGCATCAGTGCACTGCTTCGATGCTCGCTCTTGCAGCGCCCTCACGGCGAGCTCTTCGCTCTCCTGTTCCACCAGTACGAATGCTATGTTGGCCTCCCACTCACTTGCCAAGTGCTCTTGAAATCCTCTACCGAAACATCATCCATATCTCCCAAAGGACCCAAATGCTTGCCTCCATTGATGCCATGATTGATGAACACGCAATCCACTCTCCCAAACCTCTTCTTGACCCGTTCGTAAAGCTCGACCGTCTGCTTCTCGTCGCACAGATCAGCCTGAAAAGCTTCTACCTGCATTTGGGCATGCTGCTTCTGCTGAGCAGCATTTTGGGGAATGTGGGACTGGATGGCAGAGATGGTGGAGCGGATGCCTTGCTCATTTCGATTGTAGCCTAGCGCTAATGCTCGAGGAGGAAAACGCTGAGCTAAAAGCTTTGCGGTCGAAGCGCCTATTCCCGACGAAGCGCCTGCGCCAACGCAAGGCGAAAGCGCACAAAGTAAGGGAGAGGAGCCACGTTTGAACAAGCTTTAGCCTCTCTCTCTCTCCCTCTCCACGTGATTGGAGGTATGGCGCAAAGGCTTGCGCTCTATGCTCACCTGTGATCAGAACCACCCGATCAGACAAGTCCTGATCTTGATCCCTCCTGCTGGTCATGCTTACCGATACGTGCGCGCTTGTAGAAATGGCCACACACAAAGTGACTTATCGCTTGCCGCTTTTGCTCTTGATCGCTGTCTGATGCTTTGCTACTGATTGGAGGATGCAGCTACTGATTGCAGAATTCAGATGGAGGATGTGCCAAAGGATCTCGCATCGGGGATGAAGAGCGGATCAACGGAGCGCTTATTGTTTCTCCAGAGTCAATCAAGTGGTTACTGCGGTTAAGTGTGCCACACGCATGGTGCCGAGGGCCGGCAAAAGCACTCACACGGCATCAGCATCATCCTCGCCGGCCATGCGCACGCATGCATGCGGCCCGGCAGATCGAGGCGCTTTGCCCGCCCCTCCGTCCAACACGACCTCCACATGCTGCGTGCATCATCATCAGCAGCTGTCGACACCTCACACTCACGAACGACCATGTAGACGTGCGCTTTCGACGCTCAGTCTCACACAGAGTCACGAATGGAGCGAATCGTAGGGAACGCGCTGCTGCTGCTGGCTGCTCTTTAGCATGACGTTCCCCTTTTGCTCCCTCCCCAATCGCACATCTATCTGCCGCTGCTTCTCCGCTACCTGCACTCAGCCTGTGCCGAAAGCGGACCCTGCTGCCATCCTTGCCGGCGGCCACTGATAGCGTGCACTGCTGCCGTAGGGGGCGCAGCAGTCAGCAGATGAATCAAGCTGCAGTGCATACACCTCCACATCCTCGAGCAGTCGAGCAGTGGAGAGGGTGAGTGCAGCGCAGTCCACAGTCAGGGTCGACTTCACTCATTCAGCACTCCCGCTCCCACTCAGCCAGCACTCCCACCCAACTTTGACACATCCGCATCATCATCCGATCACGAATGCCTTGCAAATGTGATCTGTGAGAGAATCTTCAAGAACAGCCGTCGTGCAGGTGAGCAATGAGGTGTCCCTCGATATCGGTCGCACGGCTAATCGGCTTCAACAGCAGCATCAACACACCAACATTCTCCCCTTGGCGTCTCACACAAGCACTCTCCTCAGCCAATCGGACAGCACACGCTTCGCGTTGCGCATCCACACAAGTCACCGCTGCGCTACGAAGCTTGAGCACGACATCCAAAATGTCTGCCCCAAGCAATGCTCAAAAGGTTTCTGCTGGGACGTACACTCCTACCCAACTTCAAAAGATCGTCTGGGGTTCAGGTAGCTTGTCCAGTCTGCCCAAACTGGTCCAGCTCGTCTCTGTACCTCCTCACGCTTCTGCAGACCAACCAAATCATCCTGCCAAAGCGATGATCCTGACCGGCTCTTCTCTTTCCAAGACATCCATCATTCCAGAAGCGGAAAAGATATTGGGCAAGCATTTCGCATTGACGTACACTGGCATTGGCGAACACTCGCCCGTCGAGGGCATACGCAAAGCTTTGGGCGGGATGAAGGAGCACGGAGCCAATGTGATTGTGGCTATCGGAGGTGGAAGTCCCATCGATGCTGCCAAGGCCATCTCCTACTACGCGCACCAAGAAGCGCAACAAGACGAGGACAAGCACGGCCGCAAAGATGGCAAGGATGATGACTTTATTCCCATCATTGCGGTCCCCACCACGCTCAGCGCTGCACAAACATCTCGAAATGCAGGCTATACGGACGGTGGGAAAAAGGTGGGCGTGAGCGATGCGAGGATCGTTCCTCGGGCCCTGGTGCTGGATGCCGATCTCACGCTCCAAACGCCCGAAAGGCTGTGGCTCTCGACGGGAATGAGGGCGGTGGATCACGCGATCGAGCTGCTCTATCGACCCGATCCTTCGCCCCTCTTGCGCAACATGTGGTTAGGCGCACTTCGCGATCTCTTTCACCTCTTGCCCATGTCAAAATCCCAACCTCGAAACGTCGACGTTCGACAAAGATTGCTCCTCGCTTCCGTCGCTTCGCTCTGGTCGGAGGATCGCGTGGGGGCGTTGGGCTTGTCGCATGCCCTGGGACATGCGTTGGGCGCTACGTACAAGATTGGACACGGAATCACAACCTGCTTGACTTTAGCACCCACCATTCGTCTCATGGCTCGACTTCCCCTCGACAAGATCGGCACCGAACAGCTCGTAGCGCTTTCCGAGTCCCTCGACCACATTCCAAAACCCTATCGCGTCGATGCTTTGCACGACGACATCGCACCACCTACGGGCGCTCTGTTGCAGCAGCAACCTTACAAGGAGCTGGATGAGCAGAGCGCAACGCCTCTGAGACAGAGGGCAGAAAAAGTGGCAGATGCGGTGCAAAGGTTGGTAGATGATCTGGGATTGCACAGCACCCTGCAACCATTGGGCGTGCCCAGGCAAGATTTGGACAAGAGTGAGTACGACATTCCCGACGCTTAACAAGCGCTCTCTCTCTCTTTGCTCAGCTCGTTCCCTCGACGAAAGGGGGGGACGCGCGCGTGGGATTCAATCGAATTAAAAAGTAAAAATACAAGAAGAGAAAGCTGACGGCGCTCCCCTTCCCCCCTCGCTTGCCTTTTCCCCCCTTCGACCCACATAGTCGCTGCGCACGCTTCTCGCAAGGACGAAGATCTACACCGTCGAGTGCTCGAGCTACTCCAGAGCATTTACTGATCAGAGCGGGAGACACGCCCCCAGCAATACGAAGGGCTCGGCAAGCTGTTGAAGCGTCACCTTCGCATAGCGCAATTTCATGCCCAGCACGCAGCGCTCGACAGAGCGTTCAGACCAGGGCTGCTCGATATCGTGCTCTCCCTCGCGCGTGTGAGCGGTTCAAGTCATTCGACTAGAGTGACCGAAGATCTGGATTGTGAAAGAGCTAGGGTGCTTGCTAGTGTACAATGACTTTCGCTAAGAAACGTGGGAATCCCACTGCGGCAAGATTTTCTTCCCGCTCAAGGATCTTGCCGGCGTGAACAATTTGGGTGCGCAAACACTTGGTGCGAGGGTGCGCGAGCAGGTAGAGCTGTTCAAACAAGTCCCAACTCGCTCTCCAGATCTGCGACGTGCTTCTCGCGAAGAATGAGAATGTCGGCGTACCGAATGGCCGTCTTGAGTTCTTCGCACGCAAGCTAAGTTGCGGGTGGAGAAGCAAGGTAAGCGCAATGGAGTGCCCAAAACGTCTCTCTCTTCAAAAGACTCACGCTGATGAGCTTGTCGGCGTTGAAAAGCTTGGAGGTCATGCTGTGCATATGACTATAAATACCAGATGCAGACGTGGCGCTCAGTAGCTCCTTCTCGTTCAGAGCGAGAATGGCTATAGCCACGCGGAAGAGTACGACCATGCCCTCAACAAAGAGCACGTCCCACACGCGAAACAGTGTCTGGTCACGAATTTCCGCACGACGCACAGAGACGAGCGGCGTCAATTTCCGAGCGCTGTAGTGCGATACGCTTTCTCACTCACCTCGACAGGTAGACAATCAGTGTACAGCGATAGGAACCAGGCGAAAGTGACAGCGGGCAAATCGACGCCAAGCTCGTCCAGATGTGCGCGCAAGTCCGGAAGGAGCTCTCCAACCAGATCGATGAGAACCCTTTGGTCCGCTTGGGAGACGAGGAGATGAGAAGTGTAATACTCGCTCGGCAAGATGCGCTGCGGCAGCGAAACACAAGATGAGCAACCATTCCCACGGCCCCCCACCAGAGTGCAGCGACGCAGCTCACCTCGATGATCATGACGAGAACCCAGAACGCGTCTTCCTCCGTCGCATGCGTCAACAGCAATGTCGCTGCCAGATTATTCATACCTTGCAAGCGATAGCAGCGCGTGAGCAGCGTGATCATAAAGCCCACTCTTGCCATCGTGCTTACCTTGGCAATATCCGCACGTCGGATTGTACCACGAGTAAGCTACCAGCAATCGGCGAAGCTTTGGAACGCCTGGACCATCTCCTCCAAAATAGACGTTGGTCGGCATGGTGCGATGCACGTCCAAATCGATCTGTTCTGTGCACTGATTGGCATCCCCTTGATGCTCAGCCAGCAACTCCTGATACTTTCCAGGCTCAGCAGCCTCAATGGCTCCGCTGCACTCCGTCCAAACCTTGGCGCGGTAGCACAAAGGAATGCCAGCCTGGCAGAGGCGCAGAAAGACGCGCCAGTGATCCTTGCCCAGCTTGCTATCGCCCATACGATTCACGCCGATCATTCCCTGCTGCCAAGCTTCCTCGGGCACATCGTCCACCTGAGCTAAACCAGTAGCATTCTCGGAAGCGCTTAAGCCCAACATCTGGCCGCCGCTTTTGCGTACAGCGCCGGCTAGACGAGCTGCGCCTCCCGCGCTGGCGTTCGCAGCCTGCGACGCGGACGGGCGAGTGCCCGTTCGGGACGTTACAGCCTGTCTTCTTTGTTCCAGAAACTCGTCCCATTTCGTCTTTTGCTCTGCTTGCTGATCTTCGTGCATTCGCTGCAACTGACCCAAAAGTCTCTTGACAGTCTGCGATGTCGAAGCCGGGCGCGGTTTGGCAGCCTTCGGCGTTTCGATGGTGAGCGCATTGGGCGCTGCGGGTTGCGAAGCAAACTGGAATTCTAGCTCTGCCGAAGGACTTGTCGGACCTGATTCAGCGGTATTTTGCGAAGGGACGCTGAGAGAGGACGCCTCCGTCATGGGCTTTGCGCGCGCCACAGAGAGCATCGAGTGGGTCGTCGTCGGGCTTTGGCTGCTGCCGCTCCTGCTTCCTCCGGCTTGCATACCCGCAACCTTTTGAGAGTAAGAGGAGACGACGGATCCTGCCTCGGAAATGTGGGATTCTGCTCCATCGAACAAGTCCTCGTTCTCCGCCAGCGATGTAGCTCGCATAGCTGCGTCGTCAGAGACCGGCCCGTCTGGCGACTGCGCTTCCTCTTCAGAATCCGGAGTGAACAGATCGGCATCATCTTCCTTTTCATCTTCGCTTTGACTATCAGATCCGCCCCTCGCCCGCACCCCTACTCGAATGCCAGTGAGACAAGCTGGCGCAGGGGTAGCAGCGCGTCTCGCTTGACGCAAGAGGCGCACATCTGCCGACGTTGCGTCGTACACAAAACCGTAGCGATCAGTGAGCAGCTCCGCCGCATCTTGCTCGCGAGCATTGATAGGCTCGGGCGGGGCCATCATGACCAAACCCTTGCCGCCATACACTTCAAACTCATCACCGGAGCTTTCGCTCGAGCCACTCTCCTCTTCCAGACGACTCAGTGCCTTTGTGCGCGAAGACTTGGCTTGCCGACCTGGCGCAACGCGCTGAGTTACGAGCTTGCCGCCTCGCTTGGCAAAGATGGCCAGAGATGGCGGTTTGCTGTCATTGGCGATGATGGGTTCTAGCTCGACTGAAGGTGCCGGTGCTGCTGCACTCGGTTCCGAAGTGGCATCATCGCCTCGACTGTCTTGACGCGCAGCTCTTGCGTCCTTCATGGGACTCTTGCCCGAATCTACGCTGCTCCTGCCGAACGAGAACATGCCAGGAACTCGAGTCACATTCGGCTGCACCGAGTTGGAGTTCGATGGATGTGATGGCGTTCTAAGCACAGCCCCATCGCGTCGTCGCTTTTCATTTCGCCCCAGCGTCTGACCTAGTCGTGCAGCGCTGGTGCTGCCAGAAGCCCCGGAGGCAGAAGGGGGTGCAGCACGAGCTTCTACATTCCTTGACGCCTTCAGGCTTCCACTCGCGTCGCTAGCGGCGCTCGATACCGACGCTCTCTCTTCTGCTGGGCTGCTCTTGTCGAGACCGGCCTCTAAATCTCTACTGGCGGGCACGGTGTCACTCTTGGCTTTAGGTGCCGCAGCATCCGCACTCAAAGCTTCTTGCAGAGCGTCAGAGACCGAGACTCTGTCGTCTTCGGTGGGACGAATTTGTGCGCCCTCGTCATCGAGCCCGGTTTTGGAGACGGCAAGGGTAGAAGACCCTACTAACGATCCAGAAGCCGCATCTGCTGTGCCTTCGCCGACCGAGAGAGCCGCTGGGGTGTCGTCGGCTCTGTTTGCAATCTCCTCTCCCTCAGTCAAGCTTGTCGCTCCTCGAGAAGCGACAGATCCTGGAAGGGCGGGCCTAGGGGACGGCTTCGGCTTACGGCGCCACGCGATGCTGCCCATCATAGACAAGCCGCTCAGCACTCTGTTGCTGCCTGTGCCCGTCTTGTCGGACGAAGTGCTGGAGCTGCTCGGTGCTCTCGGGGAGCTTGGAGTACTTAGGGACGGGGCCGAGACAGAGGCAGACCTAGCGTGTGCTGTCTGCGGACCTTTTGGAGAGGAATGCAAAATCCCACGGCTTCCCGCAGGCTGCGCGCCGTCGGACAAGTAGCCGTCCGCTTCAACGTCTGCTGGACTGACAGCGTGCACGCTAGGTGCAGCTTTCGTGTGCGAAACCGAGCTGGATCCCCACAGACCCCACGCAAAGCTCGAAGGGGCGACACTTTGCTTTGAAGCCGAGGACTTTGTCGAAGAGACGGAAGGCGCTCTTGATGACCGACGCGGCGACTTGTCGGATCCTTTGTCGAAGATCTCCTGAGTCGACCGCATATCTCCTTGCTGACGTGCGCCTCGGCTCGAGGCTGTTGGGTCTGCGCGAGCGTCTGGTGGCACTACCGCATCCGAGGCATCGTCTCGAGCTGAGAGCGCCGAGGCGGTGTCGCCAGTGCTGCTGTGGAGCGACCGACGCGCTCGTACAGTGCTCTGATCATGCACCTTCAAGTGATCTCTGGACAATTCATCGCCCCCTTCTGCAGCAAGATTTTCCAGCATCGCTTCCCTGAGCGACTCTGGCAAGCCCTCGTCTCCAAGGCTGGTCAGCTCCTCTTTGAAGCTCGAACGCTGGCCATTGTTTGTCTGCGTCGCGTCAGCGGTGCTATTGCCCTCTTTGCGCTCGTCGGCCTGAAATGTAGGAATTTCGGACTGATCTGTGGCGTGCATCAGAGCGCGCTCCACGCGCAGTTGCGAGACGCCTGCTCCTCGTAGAATGTCCTTCAAAGCCGTCTCTCGCGCATCGTAGCGTCGCCGCTGTGCACCGATCGCAACGACGTGCTTCTTCTGCATGCCTTCCAGTGCCTCACGATGTAGTGATCCCTCGTCTATCGCGACCTTGAGAGCGATGCTAAGCTCTCGTATTAGGCTCGTGCGCGTCGCAAGAATGGAGTCTGTGTGAGCACCCACGCCCGAGGTCAGCCCAGCTTCGGTAGCGGTGCCTTGTGCGGGCGACGCAGAGTCGGTTCGGGCACCATGGGCAGGCTGGGTGGCAGATCCAAAAGTGGCGATCCGCTCGAGATCGACGTCTGAGAGCTGGTGGAGAGAAGAGAGGTAATGTCTGCGCGATTGGCGCTCCGCCACTCCTTCTCCATCGTTGTCGCTCTCTGAGGGGGCAACAGACATAGCCTTGGTCGGCTCTCGCGCCACAGATGGTGGTATCGGCGATCGAGCAGCGCTGCGAGATGGAGGTCGAGTCCGAGTGCCGACGGTCAGGTTGCCAGCTCTGGAGGGAGCTCTAGAAGGTACGGGACTGACGCGGAGCCTGTCATTCTCGTCGATTGTGTCATCGCTGCTGTAGCCGGACTCGGCGTCACCGACCGAGCTGTCCGCTTTCGTTGAGTGGGCGTAGGGATGCGCGCTCGGGGACAGTCGGAGCCGATCTGTGAGTTTGGAGCTCGACGCGTGCGATTGCCTCTCCATCTCATCTGCTCGATGGGCCAGCTTCTGAAGATCGAAATAGCCCGGCCGAGTCCAAGAATCAGCCGGTTGAGCGTTCGACCTCGATTCTGAGGCTGATGCATCAGCTGTCGAAGCATCTTTGGATGTGGTGGGCGTCGCTAGATCTGCGCTCAGCGCCAATGGATGGCTCATCGCGGCACTCGAGTCGCACTCGTTAGCTCATGAGCTGTGTGATCCGCGGTAGGGTGCGCGAGAGCTGCACTGTGCATCGCCGATGCTGGCCAGACTGAACAACGACGCCTGAGCTCCAATGCGATCAGGAGGTGTCATTCGACTGCAGATCGAAGTGGGGATCGTGAATCGAAAGGCACGAGCGGTGCATCTGAGGAGGATCAATCATGCGTTCGCCTCGTAGCTGCTGTGGTCAGGTGGAAGTGGAGCATGTAACAGTCCTTCGGAACTTTGCCCGCATGTGCGAGCGAGGCCGAGAGCGTGAGTTATGAGAAGTGGGCAAGCTGTTTTCGGGTGAGAGTCAAGCCGCGTGCGAGTGTTGAATGCTGCATGGACTCTCTCTCTATGTTTAGCCTCGGTACATGGTCGTGTGCATCCATGTCTTTGCTCACCTTGCGATGTCAACTCATCAAAGCTGTGGCTTGATTTGAACCTCGATCGCAGCTGCATGATGGTCCTCTCGCGCGCGGTCGCATCATGGAGGTGGGCGCGCGCTCTTCCGCGTCCAACAGCACCAGTTAACCCAGATCTGCAACTGCAGCATGCATGCAGCGAGCCCCATGCAAGCGCGGTCTGCTTCTCTTGGTGCACGCGCTCGGGCATCATGCATCGACCACGTGGCCAACACCATCACGCTCACTCACGACTGATCGTTCTTGACTTGAGACCGCCTCCTACACCAATCATCTGCTCGCTCAACGCCTTTCGGCGCGCTCTCGTGTGGAATAGTGATGCATGACTCGAGGTGAGTCCTGATTCGAGGAAGTACCACACAGCCTTCAGCTTAGCTTCGCCAGTGCAAAATCTCAAATGAATACAAAACGGTGCACGCCTAATCAGGAGTCATCTGCAGCGCATGTACAGCATGAGCGGAGATTCCAGATCCGCATGGCATACGCATGTCGGCGGGGTGATGTGTGATCGAGTGACAGGCGACAGATAGCGTATATAGGCAGCACGGCCAGAAATTAAGTCACCATCGCGCAAGTGCCACGCCGGCGGCGATCCAAGATGCGCGCATTCTAGCTGCTGGTGCTGCTGCTGCTGCATGCAGACCCGTCTGCAACGCGTAGGGGCGGCGGGGTGAAAGTAATGAGTACTTACAACAAGAATCAAGAATCGAGAATTGAGTTCCAGATTTTGATTCAAAGTGTCATGCACACAATAAGAATCTCAATATAAAGGCTGTCTTCAAGATTGATATTTGTGCATCTAGACGGCCAGTTGTGTGCAAGACTTACGAGGATGGGTGCGTCGGCATACCAGTCTAGTCAAGAGTCTTGAGTGTGTGTAGCATCCAGCAGCAGCAGCAGCAGACAGCTAGCTATATACAGCACCGCGGGTCCATAGCGCGCACGATCGAAAGCGATATACTTGGCAGGACGTGCCGTGCTTCATGCAGCGCCATCGCTCGCATAGACTGGTGACCACTCACACATCACACACGTCCACCCTCAAGCCACTCTTGCACACACGCTCAAAGCGCTCTCTCGCCCTCGCAGGCTCCGCATCTCATTCCGAAGCTGAGCATACCCCATCGCTGCTTGCTCGCTCGCCCGCCCGCTCGTCCGCCTTTGCATCTGCTTCGCATCAGCAGCACAACTTCTCAGCTCCATTCACTCTCAGTCGCAAGCCTGACGCTCGACGCCTCTCGCTTCTCTCCATAGACTTTCCAGTAGCGCATAAACGCGACTCCAAGCTCGACCAATCAAGCGCATACAGTCCCATCCAAGCTCGACCAATCAAGCGCATACAGTCCCATCCTTGCAGTCAGACGAGCACCATGCAAGCCGCTTTCCTTCGAGAATACAAGTTGGTCGTGGTGGGAGGTGGTGGTGTAGGAAAGAGCGCACTGACAGTGATGTTCATCCAAGGTCATTTTGTGGACGAGTATGATCCGACCATCGAGGGTGAGTGTGTGAGGCAGCGCGGGTCGTGAAATTGCGCGCCTAGGCTGATGCTCGAACCTCTCGACGCCGATCAGACTCTTACCGAAAGCAATGCGTCATTGATGAAGAGGTCGCATTGCTGGATGTGTTGGATACTGCGGGGCAAGAAGAGTACAGGTGAGCATCACAGGCAAAGCTGGATCGCTCATAGGCAGCACCACTTCGATCAAGCCTGCACAAGCTCCGCTGGTCATGAGAGCGAGCTTGTAGAGTCGTGGAGCTGACATGGAGCTGCTTTGACGATCAGTGCGATGCGAGAGCAATACATGCGCACAGGCGAGGGTTTCTTGCTCGTCTATAGCATCACCTCGAGGAACAGCTTTGAGGAGATTACGACATTCCACCAGCAGATTTTGCGCGTCAAGGACAAGGACTATTTCCCAGTGATCATTGTTGCGAACAAGTGCGATTTGGAGTACGAGAGGCAAGTGGGCAGTCATGGTGAGTGGAGCTTCACCCCTAGCTGCGTCCATGCATCTTGTCGCATACTGAAAGTTGCATGCGACATCTCTTCCAGAGGGTCGCGAGTTGGCCAAGCACTTTGGATGCCGTTTCATCGAGACTTCGGCAAAGCAGCGCATCAACGTCGACGAAGCCTTCTGCAACCTCGTGCGCGAGATTCGTCGCTTCAATAGGGAGCAAGCTGGTGCGAGGCCTGGTGCACCAGGAGCAATGGGAGCTGTGGGCGGTATGGAGTATGCGCAACCGGGGGGAAACAAGCAAGAAGGAAGTTGCTGCGGTTGCAAATGCGTGGTCTTGTGAAGATGTCGGGATCGGAAACAAGGAATTATTCTGGCTCGCCACTGCTGTTCCACATGCCAACCTCACGTCACGCTTTCTCAAAGCCATGCCGCTCTCTTGAAAGTCCTTTCCGATAGGCATCGTCCCTTCGCTACGCTGCACGTACGAGAACGAAGCAGCGTCGCCTGCTCGCGCAATGCCTTCTACTAGACTCTCTCTACAGCACTCACTCTTTCGCCTTTCGATTCTCAAATGACACCATCAGCGTGCGTACGCTTGCCTTCTCGCGCTCCACGCTCGACTTGTTTTCCTATCGGAGAAAGGAGCATTCCTCTCTAATTTTTCCGATATGCAAAATTGCGCTTTTTTCCATTACATTCGGTTGAGACCAAACCACCCACCAACTCTTACGCACACTGCTACCCATTTGACGTTCCCTGCCATCCCTTTTCTCGACTTGATCTGCTTCTCGCGATGCTATCCACCGAGTCACTTTTGCTTTCAAAACATCCATCTTCTCGTTCGTACGTAATGTGATGCAGGGCTTTCAACGACCCGAAAGCTGGCGTAAAGGGAAAAGGGAGGCACGTCATTCTGAGCTCGCTGACGGCAGCGATGATACACTTGAAGATGTGAATGTGCGTGTGCAATCATCCGGTCTTTTGGTCTGAGGAACCGATGTTGCGCACGCATTCCAGCACGGCCCTCTTCATCATGTCCGTGATGATGTGCGGCTGATCTTGGTCGAAATCGAGGGTAAAGGTAGCTCTTAGAGGTCCCTCGGAAGATTCGTGGGACGCAGCCGCTTGGCGCAAGTCGGAAAGCACGTCCTTCATCATCTGCACCGAGAAGCGGACATCCTTTGTGCCGCATATCAGGCTAGAGTCGAGGTTGATCTGCTTGCGTCCCGCATCGGCGTCCGCGTCCGCGTTCGCGATGGAATGCTTCGGGCGGGACGTTTGATGGTCTGCTTTGACTTCGGCTGGAGCACTGGAGTGGGAATGATGGGGTCTGAAAGGAAAAGCAGAGACCACTTTGAACCTGGATCCAGCGAGCGGAAAGATGTGTCGCGGTACAGGTAGCAGCTCTGTCGCAAGGGAAGGTGTGACATGTTCTCGCAAGAGCACGAGCGTGTAGGTGTTGAGCAAATTGGCACCCTGACTGAAGCCTACCAGCGCAATCCTATCATTCGGCACGCCCCTTTTGTTTAGATCCTTCATGGCGTCGACGATGCGTTGCAAGGCGGAAAAGATGAATGGCGCATTCTTCGCTATCATCTTCTCATCCGTCACTGATCAGCGATTTGCAAGAAGGAAATTTGGGTTCAGATGGATCGTGAACCAGGCGATGTGAAGCATCTGGCGCTATTGTGCCTATCGCAAGCTCACGAACCGGAATGCGCATCGGGGTACCACCAATCCCGCGCAGCTCCAACCGCTTCGATCCAAAGTGCCTTCTCCTCCCGCTTCTCTTTCCCAACTACAGCCTGCCCTTCAGCTTCTTTCGGCAGCACTGCTACCTCTTCCACTTTCTCTTCCTGCAATCCTTCCTTCAAAAGCGTGCAAAACATATCCATCATGGGCTTCGGCGTCTCGTTTCGTCCATGGATAAGCACAACGCCTACAGGCGCGCTCAGCTCGCTGCTCCACTTGCCGCCCGAAAGTCGAACGAGAATGGTGGGACCATGCACGTGGGGTAAGGGATCTTGCCAATCGGATGCTTCGCTCATTTTTGCCCCCTTGGCTATCTTTCGAGTTGATCGCGCTTACTTCGATTTAATGGAACTCGGTCACGAGTACTGCGATGAGCGGGATGGTAGAGCAGTCAACACCCACGATAAGCGTGCGTGCGTGCGTGGCATTCGCGTGTGCGTGGATGTTCAGACCCAAAGAGACGCGCGCGCGTGCGTGAACCGTATGATCAAGCTTTCATGCGCGGCCGTCGATAGCTTGATGATGAGCTTGACGAACCTTGAATGATACAAACACAGCTGGGATTGCTGTTCATCGAGTCTGACTGCTGAATGGTGGGTGCGCAAAGCCTCATTCGTGATTGCAAAGACCAAGAGCGCCGATCAGTCCCCGCTGGTGAGCACTTGACTGAACAAAGCCCGCGCGTGCGACTTCGCATGTCGAACCTCTTCCACACGAGAGCCAGCATCAACGATTCGCAATAACAGCTCAACCACCGCACCGATCTGCCCAAAAAAAATCATTTCCAAGACCACAAAGCGTGCATATGAAATACATTGACATTCAAAAGGATTGTTCGACAAGGGAAGCCTCACCGAACGCTCGAGAGCAGCTCGAACGTATGATTCGACCTAAGCAGAAGGTGAAGACTCCACAGCCTTTCCATCTACAAACATCACCTCGCCCACATTGACTCGACGAACCAACTCTCTTAGGGCCTGCGAAGTTTCAAGAAAGCAAGTACGAAATGAGAGATCGTCGAAAAGAGTCGATTGGAACGACAAAATTTTTCCCTGCAACAACAAATCGATCGCAACACCGACTCACCCTTGCTCCCCATTCAAAGTCGGACACTTCGAGCTTCGGGTGGGGCAAAGATGGCGGGAACTTGGTCAGCAGCGCGCAGTCACCTCCCTCTTTCAAGCTGGTCAAAAGAGATGACGTTGAGCTCACCCAAGCTTGAGCGCTGAAGCGGGCCCAGATCTTCGAGTCGTAGCTTATAAAAATAAAAAATAAAAATAACAAAAAAAATAAAAAAATAAAAAAAAAAAACAGAAGGAAAAAAGGAACAAGGAACAAATTTGGCGTTGGCACGAATGAAGGATGAGCTCACGGCATCGCGATCATCCGCCCATCCTCTTTGTTTGCCAGACCTCTCGGCACCAAGACTCACGTGTATAGCGGAATGGCCGTCTTGAACTCGTCCTGCAGCGTGTTCCAGAACCAAGGTCTAGCAGCCGCAAACCACTTGTCCACCTCTCCCTGCGTACAATGTGCCGCAACGGGTACGCGCACATTGACCATCGCCGCCGTTCTCTCTCCACTGGGATCCAGAAGCTCGCTGCCCAAAACCCTCGCCACTTCCAGCGCACCTTTGCGAGCCAGATCGTGCGTGTACCGTCGAAGCCTCTCGTAGCCTCCTAGCTTTTCCGCAAACGTCAAGGCAGCATCCACGCTCAAGAAGGAGCTCTGATCGATCGTCGCATTTGCAGCCCACTGTTCTGCCCAGGTATTTGTCTGCCCTGACGCATTCTCTACGTAGGACCAGCTAGTAGGCAGACTGGATCGCTGAAGATGCTGATTGCGCCTAGGCACGTAGAACACTGCACAACCTCGATGCGCATAGCCCCACTTGTGAATGTTGGACACGAAAAAATCCGGATCTGCCGCTTGAAGGTCGAGCGGAACTTGTGCAAAGGCGTGCGCACCATCCACAAAGCTCAGGATGTCGTGCTTCCTCAACAGTTGCACAAGCTCCACCCACGGAAGCTTGATACCGGGCATGCTCGAAATGGCGTCAAAGATGCCGAGTCGAATCTTGATCTGCTTTGCGGTGGCGGCTACGATGCTCTCTTCCACCGCTTTAAGGATCTCGTCATCGGAAGCGGGCAGCTTGATGGGCACAAGGACATCGTGCAGCTTGGTCTTCAGATTCGTGTGCGTTTCGTACACGTACGACAGCGTCTTGTTCACCGCTCCATACCCAACATTGAGCGTGAGGATGCCATCCCCATCCTGAAAGTACAGATCTCTCAGCACTGCGTTAGAGGCCGTTGTCGCATTCGGAATCAGCGCAAGTGTCGACGTTGGGCAATTGAGCATCTTGGACAAGCGTGACAAGGCGCTTTGCAACAGTTCATCCCGAGTCCTTAGCAGAAAGAGCTGTCGTGGAAGGAGCGGCCAAGGCATCAGGTAGACGCCTTGATCACGTGTAGGCTTTCATCTCACATCGGGGTTCTCTTCTGCTTTGTCCGACAGCGCTCTCCATGCTTCGAGGACGGGGATTGGGCATGCCCCGTACGAGCCTGTGGGGGAGCAAGATGCATGAGCGTGGAAAGACGGGCACGGTGTGCATCCAGGCTGTCATCCTAGACACTCGAACTGAGGCGACGCAGTTCAGAGCGACTCACCATTGTTGAGGTTGGTAAAGCCTTTTTTGAAATTCCAATAGCGAGCAGCGTCATGACCGAGCCTTGGCAGTCCATACTCTTCTTGACTCGCAAGTTTGTGAGCCGAAGGAGCCGGTCCCGCCGCATTCTCCGATTCACCAGTGGCCCACGGGTTGCTGCTAGACACGCTCGAGGTGTTCCGTGCAGCCGAATGCTCAGCATTGCCTGCTTGGCTGCTGCTGCTGGTATTGCTGGCCTTGTCCGACGCGGAGAGAGAGCGAGGGTCGAGCTGGGGTGTGGGGTCAGCCCAAGGATCTGCACCGGCGGACATGCTGACTGGGACGTGTGCGAGTGAGGAAGTGGGCGAGACGGCGAGGTTGCGCAAGGCCTCCAATGAAGTTTCGGGATCTGTCGTTGCTGAGGATGATGGAGCTGGAGCAGGAGCAGGAGCATCATCTGTACCAGACTCGACAGCGCTCGGGAGTATCGCATCCGACTCTGCTGCGGAGGCGTTGATGCCCGACATGGCGTACGCCGAAAGCTCTCCTCGAAGCCGGTGACTCGACTTTGCTCTTCGATCGATCGAGTCACAATTTGTCAGATTGCTGCACGGAGCAAGTCAAGAGTGTCACGGCTGTGTCGCATGAAAAGTGCCGAACGCACATGCGTCGCTTTGCTCGCAGCCAATCGAACGTCGTGGATAATCGAATTGTAAGCCCGCAGGCTTGAAGCTATACAGATCTGGATAGCCGTCTCAAAGAATGAAAGTAGTCTTGAGACGAAGGCGTGAGGCGATCACTGACAATCGTGAATCTGAAGGTTGACTGCAGAGAGGGAGTCACGAGTGATGCACGAGACAGCGGCCGCGGAGTCGTGAGTGATCGAGTCATGCGCGTGCGCACGGGCACTCAGGCTCATCAAGACTTTGACTCAAGCCTTTCTGACTCGTGACTGTAAATCACGTGACTTGACTTCAGCTGCACGCGCTACAGGGCCATCTTCTTCGCGAATAATCTCGACACTTTGTCCAATCCAAATCGTCGATCGTGACTCAGACTTGACTCAAACTGTTCGAACGCGAACGCCGCGCCGCGCGGGCACCTGCTGCATGCCATGCTGCACGAAGTCCGCCCTTCTCATGGAATTGCGATGACTCGCGCAGTGCCCCCATTGGGAGCTCGACGACCCGACAGGTATTTCGAGGCGCCCAGACAGTCTCCATGGTATGGCGCGGGACGCTTGCGACAGAAAAATCAAAAGAGGAAGAAATGCGCGCGCGTGCCGACGGCGCGACTTCGTGATTTCCTGCTTCAGTGGCGCTGTCAGTCTGCAGTCGTGAGTCGTGAGTCGTGAGCGTACAAGAGGAGCAGCAGCAGTCTGATGAGTCTTCCGAAGAGAGTAAGTCCTCAGTGCGGTGCGATTGCGGTATACTCGACTGCGGAGACTGCGGCGCCCGCCCTCTGTCGTCCAGTCCCTAATTCGTGATTCTGGCCCCCCGCCTGGAGCGCCCGCCAGCTTGCAAGACGTTTCTACCATCTCATTGTGATTGTGCAGTCGCAAACTCCTCGTGGGTGGACATAGCTCGACAACTTCCTTGTCCCATCGCGACAGCTTCCGAGTGGATGGATCGGAACAGGCGTTGGAGCCGGCCCCTTGACAGCACTTGCACACCTTGAAATTGGCCAAAGCACTCTGGAGCGCTACAACACGCGTCAGGCTGGCCGCACTCTGCGATTTCAAGCGCTGCCTGATATACCTCATGCTGATCGGATCAACCATCCGGCACACGATATTTCAAGCCGATTGGTACCGCTGTGAGCGATCCGACTAGCGCATCATGAACGGTAGCACCGTCAAGCAGTCACAAGCGGGAGAGGAGACTTCCAGACCGAGCGCGCGCCAAGACACCAACGATATGGACACCTCTCTACTCGAGGGAATGGATGCCGAGACGATGGCCCAAGTCATCATGCGTCAGGCTTTCGAGCAAGCCGAGCTCTATAACTTGTCCGCAGGACTGGCATCAACATCCGCCGTCGCGCCTTCCAACGGCGCATCCGCCAAGCCCGCTGTTGGCCCCACAAGCGCAGCAGCATCAATATCAAACTCGACTGCAAAAAATGTAAGCCCTGTATCCACGCCAGCAAGGCCAAGCCAGCCCGCAGCTCCGCCGCAAAGCTCTACATCCAGCAGCGCCGTCAAAGCTGGAGTGAAAAGACCGCGTCCGGTCGAGTCTGCCTCTACCACTACTGCCGTCAGCACAACTTCTCGTCCACCTCCACGGAAGCCCGCTCCCTTACAAAAATCCAGCGCCACTCCTTCTCAAAGCAGTCCGCCCAGGACAGCGCCAGGCCATCCTCCTCCACCCGCATCAAAGCCATCCGCAGGTGAGTGCAGCTCATTACAGCAAGGCAGAAAGCGTGTTGTTGACATCATCAACGTATCTGATTCAGCAGCCCCACCGATCGAGCCCTCAGCGACTCCAGTGACGGAGTCAGGAGGCGATCAAACACTTCAGGCCTACGCGGCCTTGAACGGCCAAGACCTCAATGCAGTCGCGCGGGCCGCCATGGGCTTGGATGAGCACGGGGAGCCTCTTCCTGGGAACGAAGAGACACACCGAGAGTTGGCAGACGCTCTGCATCGACTCTCTGCAAGCCAAAAGCAGGCACACATGGCCGGCAAGGGTGATGTCTCTAGCACTACGAATCCAATCTCTGACCCAACTCCTGCTCCATCGAAGATGGTCACGCCTCAGCGGAGCGCGCAATTCGCCAACATCCAATCGCTTTACGCTGAGAATAAGGAAACTCCTGCAACTCCAACTTCTCCCTCAGATGGTGGCGGTGAGGCCCCAAAGCGCTTTCAATGTCCTCACTGTGCGCGCGCTTTTGCTCGGGCATTCAACTTGAACACGCACATTGCAACGCACGATCCCGACCCAAAGAGGTCGAAGCCTTATACGTGTCCCTATCCTGCGTGCATCGCGCTGGGGGGCAGAAGCTTCAGCAGGAAACACGACTTGCAGAGACATGTGGCTGGCACGCACGAATCGGATCCTGAGCCCGAGATCAACAAGGACGGAAGATCTGGCGGCCTGGCTAGCATCGGACTTGCTGCGCCCGGACGAAAATTCAGGTGCAATGATTGCGGACGTGGTTTCGTCCGGCGCGATGTGCTCAGACGACACTTGTGCGACGCTGCGCCGGGTCGCGAAGGCGAAGCCAATAGCTCGAGAGATCAGGAGGCAAGAAAGGACGATGAAGCAGCCTCTCCAAACGCCAATACCAAGGGGAATAAAATGGATGAGGATGACGAGGAAGAGGAAGAGGAAGAGGAAGAGGCAAGCCACAGACGCAGCGTGCACTCTTCAGAAGTGGAGGAAGAGCCGGACATGGATGCGGCAGCGGCGGCAGCCACGGCCGCGGCAATTGCTCAGGTGCGAAACCTGTTCCTGGGACTGCCTAGCACGGGCGGAAGCACTCCAGAGTCGTTGTTCACGAGCATCCCATCTCCAGCAAGCTGCGCTCCTCCCACCTCCGCAGCCTCGCAACCACCCTTCATGCCAGCTCGTCCGCCTCGTCCCCCTTTGTCGAGACCTGCTCCTAGGCCCAATGCAGGCCCTTCCGCCCTCCCACCTCCCTTTAGACCCTCTGGCAACTTTCCTTCGGGCGTGCGTCCCCCTTCTCGTCCACCAGCGTCACCGTCGTCAGGCGCCAGACCTCAAAGTAGCGCTTATAGCTCCGCAGGCAACCTCTCTGTGCCCACTGCATCCGTCGCTCCCGTCAGTCCTCCCTTTTACCCAAGACCTCCGGGTGCACCTGGACGACCGACAACAACGACGAATCAGAGCAAGATTGTCAGACCGCCAATAGCTTCACGTCCTCCAGCACCTACGAGCGGCAACGTTGCTGCCCGATCACCAGCACAAGCAGCGGCGGGCACGACAGGCGTAGCACGCCCACCAGCCAGTGCGAACGCGTCTACACCGCAAGGTCCATCTCGTCCTCACGGTCAAGGCGAAGGATCGGTCGCTAGATCTGCGCAGGCAACAAAGACCGATACTCCCGCTCCAAGCGCTGATCCATCATCCTCCACATCCACCACCTCGTAGAGCGACTCTGCGAAGACTGCATACGGCCAATGACCACGGATCTACGGAAGCGCGATTCTGGCGATGCAAGCACGGAGGTCTGGGTCTTTCTTGAGCCGTGTAGTCTAGGAATGCAGGTTCTCCTTTTGGATTCTCATTACGGAAATTGTAAGATGGAGTGCTTGTAGGGTTTGTGGTTTTTGTTGTGCACTAATGTAGCGTCGAGATACTCACTGGAGGGACGCACTGCCGACTGAAGAGTCTGTTCGAGTCGAGTCGATCTATTGGGTAGGTGGGGGCAGTCCAAAGCATTCGAAGTCTGACTTGGAACTTGGCAGTTCATAGTCACGAGCGTATGGAAGAGGGAAGGTCAGTGAAGGCTTGAATCTTAATGCGCAGTCACGTCAGTCTTTGGAGCATCCTAGGCGAGCGCGTTTCATCGATCTACCAGGAAACCGAGAGGTGGTATACCCAGCTCGGACCATTCGAGCCTCTGAGAATATGTCGCGCTTTCTGCTTTGCGAGTTCTGCTACTGAATTCCACCGATGCACGGAAATCTGTTGGTCGTCGTTGCGCGAATGGAGACTTCGTCACGAATCACGATAGGCACGACGATGCGATTGCCATGACGCTGACCATATCAAGCTGCGCCGCGATGCTCCCAGACTCGTGATACGATCGCTCGTGACTGCTACTGGAGTTTCCCCTCATGGAGACAGCAAGCAAGCCCACGTTGTTCGATCCACATCTCGGCTTCGAAGTTCCCCTTGATTAAAGATTCTTGATTGTGGCTTGCAGTCGCGAGTCGCGAGTCACGACATCTGAACCTTACGACTCGATCATTCGATCGATCAGCACTTGCACTTGCCAAGCGGGGCAAAGCCGAGGCGAGCCGCCGCTCGGCACGATTGCTGCATGGCCACGACCCTTGCCCCGCCTCCTTGGATACTTGCGACTCTTGATCAATCGACATGTGCGGTGCTTGGTGCGTTCCTCGTCGCGCTCGAGATTTCCGATCAACATCGACGTCATGCTCCAGCACCCGTATAGGAGGACGAACATTCAAGATTCAAATTCACGATTCAAGATTGTTCGGTGCTGCAAACGCGTTGCTTTACATGTAAGCACGAATCAAGAATGAGAAGAAGCGAATCGAGCAAAACTTCGACTCGGAAATTGTCGTTCAGAGTCAAATCCTTATGCGCGAGGTCTGCTCATACAGCCAAGAGTATTCGTTTGGATTCTGATCGACTCGATGGAATCTACGTCCGATCGAATGATTATCATTCCTGATTACACTTCGCTGCTGGCTGCATAGTGCATACATGGGTCGGTGGTGGTGATTTGATTGCATGCCTGCATGCCGATTTGTGGGTGGATCCTTCGGCCGAACTCGAGACTCGGCGCCGATCTATGTTCGCGCCGAAATTCGCCATGAGGCCGACTTCGGAGGACTCGTCCCGACGACCGCGCGACTCACGGATACATGCAGCTGCAGAGCAAAGCAGCCGCGGCGGGCGCATATTATTACATGCTGGATAAAGAAAATGGCCGCGCGCGCGTGACCTGTTGCAGAATGTATATACACGCGCGCCGGCCAACACGACAAGGAAGCACTCACGCACACGCGTGTGCAGCAGCAGGACCGCGGGCTCTTAACAGGATCATGCAGCACCCATGATGCAGCCATCAGCCATCAGCCATGCATGCATGCATGTATGCATATGCGATGAGATCTGCTGCAGCTGCACAGATATTCTAGCTGCTGGTGCGCAGCAGCAGCGATGAGATGCTGGTCATGGCGGAGGCTGTGCCCCGCCTGCGTTTGGTAAGCTGAGCTGGGGCTCGCGATCGGGAACATCCATCCGTACCCGCGCACTCGTGACTGCTGTGACTCTTCTCATCAGCTCTTGGCTCCTCCAGCTACTCAGCATTCCCGAGAAAGGGACAGACCGCATCGCACTTGCTCCTTCTCCGGACCGCTCATCCAAGTATCCTCGCTCCCGCGGACGATGGTTGAGTTGATGTGAAATGTAAAGTGAAAGCAAGTGTAGTAGTAGAGAAGTGGTAAAAAGTATTGGCCGCTCGATCGTGTGATAGCTATAAAGGCAACAGCAACTAATTAATCAATGCGTGTGGACGCAGCAGCCCGCGCTGCTCGCGATGCATGCAGAGACTCACCCAGCAGCAGTAGTCTGCATGCATCCGACTTATTCATGGTAGCCAACAAACAAGTCACGCGAGCGAGCGCAGCTTGCTGCAGCAACTGCTCCCGAAAGATCAGGTCAAATGTGGATGAATCAAATGTCTGACTTCCACAACAGGCGCGAAGGGCAAAGAGGCGATGCTGCATGAGGCCAGATAGCTGCGAGGACCCTCTTTGCTTGACTCTGACTGCGTGGCTCAATCATCGTGAACTCGTGACTGTTCATGCACCCCTCTCTCGGCTTGGACCTTCCGCCATTTGAGCAGCGAGTACCGGTATGCATGTCAGCAAGTGTGCAATTTACCAAATTCTTTCCCTTGATTCTGCCCTGCTCGCTGCTGCAGTCACGGTCACATTGGCCCTCGACCTCGCTTCCACCCTCACCTTTGCCTCCTCACAGCCCAACATCACCATCTCTCGTCGCATTCCTTGGGACCTCCGTTCATCGTGTTGCTCCGATCCGCCCTCGTCAGACGCCCTCATCCGCTTCGCGCCATCCTCGTCGGATCTTCACCTTCCTCGCTGCCTCGACACCGCCTCTGACGGCGCAATGGCGCCCTCCCTCTCCCGAGCGTGGAGCGACTTTGCTTCTGCTTCTGCCAGCTCCTCTGCTGCCGGGCCCTCATCCGAGGTGTCAACAGAACCCATGAACGAGTCAGTCACCGCCTCATCACGAAGAGTCACGCCCTCCAGAAATAACGGCTTGCTGGCTCCCATTCAGACCCCTCGGCATCCTGGCTCGGCATCACCACGCTCCCGCGCAAGATCGATAGGCCGCATGGATGCATCCGAATCATATCGGCCAAGCGCTGCTAAGCGCTCCAGCGCTCTGCTACACTTGCAAGATCCCGATCGAGGTCCTGGAACGCCCGACTTCACCTTGTCTTCCACCTTCAGAACGCCCCGCGATGGTGAGGCACGTCTTGCGCAGAGTGCGGTGGCACCAGAGATCGGTCAGAATCAACATGGTGAGACCACTTGCGAGCGTGGTTGTTGGGATGTCCTGCTGCACGCAACTCGTGACTGATCATCGTACCATTCCCTTTAAGCAGGCCTGGCGCTGCCTGCTTTTGCACGTCCCCGACTTTCGTCCTTGCGCTCACTGTTTGGCGTGTTTGGCGCTGCTCAGCCTCCGGAAGGACGGCCTGTCGAGCAGCCTCGAGGAAAGCTGCGATCCAGCATGGATGGCAATGAAGAGGTAGGCGGCGCTACATCTTCCAGTCGATATCAGGGCTTGACAGCGTCGGCCGAGGCGCTCGCAAGTGACGAGGCGCCAGATGCTGCGAACCGCCACGCTCGCCGACCCACGCAGCTGCTTGCTATGCCCGCCGCACGACAGGCAGGGCCGAGCGGATTGCTTGGACTCAATGACGACAGTCCGCCGCTCACCCCGTCCTCTGAGGGTGCGCACGATACAGAGGGCACCGAAGACGATCTTCAACATGGCTCGCGCAATTCTCTGGATGTCAGGCACCATTACACTACCCCAAAGCATCATTGGAGCGCCGCGCAAGCTGCGGCTGACCGGCAATTGCACGCGACTCTGACTCCCACCAGCTCAGTGACGTCTGGACGCCTCAGTCCCGTCTTCAGCACAGTCTCAGCTGACTCGAACGGAACATTCTCGCCGCCTACGCGTCCTGGATCTAGCGCTCCACCTCACGCCAAGGCGTCCACCGGCGCTGCGTCACTGTTGCCCAGTCACATTGTGACGCCGCCTTCGAGCCCAAGAGGCGCTGCGCAGCAGCTAGCTCCTTCCACGAATGTGCCGTTCGCAGCAGCTCTCGCCTCCTCACCAGTGGACTGTTTCGTTTCGCTTCCGTCGCGTGCCAAGGCTGCGCTCGCGAGCGTGCAACTTCCGCCCATCCGCCCGCATCTGCCTGCGTTGCTCTTCCTCCTAATCGCCTTCGTGGGCTCGACCATCTGCATCGTATTGGGTCTGTCGACCTTGCCGATGAAACTGCCGAAGCATATTACCGGTCTGACCATCGAAGAGATCAAGGATGCGTGTCTGAGCCTCAAGACGTACAGCGACAGCTCCTGGCGAGCCTTCTTCCACACTCTCATCGCGCTTTGCGCCTTCTTTACGTGGAAGCAAGCGTGGACTATCCCTGGAAGCCTCATCATGAACGTGGTGTTTGGTGCAATGTACGGCTCATTCTGGGGGACTCTGTACACGTCGATCTTTACGTCAGTAGGAGGCATCGGGTGCTATCTGCTCGTCGCACCTCTTGCACCACTCGTATCGGCCCTGCCGGGCTTCAAGAAGCCGCTCGCAGCGATGCGGAGAGCGCTGGGACCCATGCACCTCAAAACTCCGGCGAGACGCTCGAGCGGCAGAGTGTCGAGCCGCAGAGGTTCGTGGAGGGGTCACAGCAGGCGCTCATCGACGATCGCCAAAGCGACTGCAGCAGCTGCGGGAGCGAATAGCAATATCTGGAGCTATCTCTTGGTTCTCAGGGTGCTGCCCATCGTGCCGTACGGCGCCATGAACTTGGCCTGCGGCTGCCTTGGCGTGCCTTTGCTTCCGTACGCAGTCACTCTGGCCGTCGGCAGCATTGGCTGGAACTTTACAACAGCCTCGATCGGCGTGCTCTTGTTGGAGGCAATGGAAGCCTTGCCGACTGGCTCTAGCGAGACTTTGGTGGACACGCTAGCATCTGGAGGATTTAGCGATGCGAAGCTTCCTGGCAGTGCCGAACATCCCCGTCTCGCCATGGTGGCACACAAGGCCAAGAGTGGTGCGGCGGCGATTGCGGAACACCTCTGGACGCCCGCGACCATTGCGAGGCTCGTGCTGCTGAGCTTGGTCAGCTTGGCGCCCATCGTCGTTCAGCGATACCTTAAGCATCGCAAACAAGCTCGAGGAGCGATGGACGGAGAGAATGGCGAGGAGGTGGAGCTGGAAGTGGCGGAGAGAGATGATTCGGATATTGAGATGGATGCGACCGAGGAGGTGGAGGATGATTCGTTTGCTGATGCGTCCATGTCCACGTTGCGAGGAGGCGCGGGAGATCGCTCCTTTTGGCTCAAACAGCAGTCGCAAATCAGAAGAGCTGTCGCCGTGCCTGTGGTGGCGCAACAACCTCTCCACTCTCCTGTCCTCTTTGACGAGAAGGAATTCTCAGAATACTTTGAAGATGAAGGGGGGGAGGATGCGCAAGATACCAATCCGTATGATGCCATTGTCAACCTGCAAAATCGCGTCAGGCTCAACTCGGCTGCTGCTACGGCAGCCTGAAGCGGCAACACATCGCTCACGCAAGGATGCGGTTAAGCCCCACTTTTGCACGTTTGCTTCGCCCTTTCTGCGCTTTCCGGAATGGGACCTGGCAGACAAGATACCTCCCGGGCAGCTGGCCGCGCGACTTTTGTTTCTGCGTCTACAACCCTCAATCGCGAATTCGCCGCCTTTTTCAGCACGCCGCCGTCGCATATGTTTACGCATCTCACACATCACACATACAGCACCTCTTCTTTTTCAATCGATGACGCGCGTCAGACCATCCTTGGATACGATGTGGTAGGCTATGCTTTCGTCTTTGGGTCCCACGCACTGCTCTGCATGCGTTGCTTGCACTGCTAGCAATGATGATGATGATGATCACAGTAGTCATGCGTGCCTGTGACATTGCCACTCACGATAAGTGATTGACGATTTGGAAGCCGCAATCCAGGTCGTCCTCGACCTGAGTGACCTTCTGTCGACCTGCCCCTTCCTCGGCGCTTGTTCGAGTGCGGGTAAGCTTGACGGTCTGCAGCGAAGGTGTTGAGTGACCCAAGCTGGCTTCTTGCGTCCTTGACCAGAGCTCGGCACTGGAAGGAAGCTGCTGGCTGGCTAGTGAGTTGGACAGAAAGTTCCGTCGAGGGACTCCACTCGTGCAGCCTCAATTGGGTCGAAGATTGCGCTGTGTGTTGCATGTTTTGGTCGCGACTCGCGCGTCTGGCCACCCATCGGGCGCTTTGCTCCACATCATGCTGCAGCAGCTGCTGCTGCCGCTGTTGCGCGCGCGAGGTGCACAGGCAAACACGAAAGGTACGGACGCCGCGGAGGGAAGAGCAGCGATGCTATGCTCGAACGCAGCAGCGTGTGCGTGATTCAGCCGAGTCAAGTGTCCTTCTGCCCACTTCACTCGCACTCCCAACCTCGCACTCATGCGAATCCATCCCAACCTATTGTCAAGCGTGCAAGCACAGCGTCTTACCTAGACTTGGACATCGCACTTACCTAAGAATAATAGAAAGGCGATACCCGACGTTGCCAGGACCTGACCCGTCGAAGCGCCGAGATCATCTTGCCGAATCAGGAAGTTGGCCGGACGGAACAATCTCAGCGGGGGTGGGGCCTTGCACAAGCATCCGATCCGCCATCACTCGCACCCAACAATGCCGTCCAAGGTGGCTCGAAGGACTTCTTCATGGGCTACCAGCTCGTCCGGTGGTGCGGGCGGTGCTACTGCAAGTCACAGTGCGACAGCAGCGTCGAACGGCGCACATCGAAGAGAATCGAGCGATGCCAAGACAGCTTTGGTGAGTCTTGCTCACGAAGCCCTGCGCTTCCCTTTGAGAGCGTGGATGTGCGTATGGGAAGAAGAAATCTCGCGCCCGACTGACTACATGCGCGCACTTGCCCGCTAACTGCTCGCTACAGGTCTCTCACTTCTTTGCTGAGCTCTTGCACGAGGCGATCGTGGACACTGCCAGCGATGTGCATGCTACGCTTGCTAGGCAACGGGCGATCCGACTGAAGCATGACAGGGGCATCGGAGATGGATGCCCAGCTTGCGGAACTGCGTGAGTATGCTCGGAATAGTTTCAGCCGAGGTGCGAAGCATTAGAAAGCTCAAGCGATTGTGGGCGAATGTGGCCAGTTGTCGAGCACATCCCGGCGTAGCTGGACACGCCAATGGGTCTGTCCAGCAAGGCGGAAATGCTGCTGGTCCTGGTGGGTCGGGATCAGGATCTGCATCGACATCGGGCTCGGGATCAGCATCTCAAACCGGATCATTGCCTCCCGAATGGACGAGGACTGGCGTCGACGGCGCAGAACCAAGCACAGCAACTTCTGGAGCAATCCCGCTCGCGCCAAAAACGGACCTGTACTCCAACAATCCGCTGCTCCCATGCGCCGTGTGCGCACGTCAAGTAGGCTCTAACAGGTACGCCATGCATCTGTCCAAGTGCCTGAATGGAGGTAGTGGCAAGGCGAGCCAAAGGAGAAAGGTGGCGCTGGGCGCGAGTGTGAAAGAGTCGGCTGCCAGCGTAAAGCAGGCCAAGAAAGTGGCTAGCGCTCTGGAAGCTAGAAAGAGGGCGGGCGGACTAGGCAGCGCTTCGGGTACCCCTGCGCCCGGTGTCAGCGACAATGAGAGCGAGCGGACTGGCGGCGGCGGCGGTGAGTGTGGTTTGGGAGCCACGTTCGCTAGAAGAGGATGGCTCACATAGAGCTTTGATGTCGATCTTTGGGAAATGACAGCTTGGCTGAATGGAAATGGCAAAAGAGGTGCAAGTCCGAACGGCGCAGCAAGTTCCAAGAAGGCTAGAACGAGCAGCACGCGTGAGTGTCGAGCGGAGCCGAGCTTGCCTGGAGCCTCATCCTCATTCTTCACGGCTGACCCATCATCCGTGCCCGCTTCAGCCCCGCTTAATGGCTCGAATGCTGTGGGCATGTCGAGAGTGGGTCAAAGCTGGACTCGAACAGATGCTTCGATCCCAATCGCTCACGAGACGAGAATCTCTCGCTCTCTCTCTCCTTGCAGACCTCTTCCAGCAATCACCTTTCTGCAACACCCATCTCTGGCTCTCCGCTCAACCCCAAAAAGTATCAAAAGAATGTCCTTTCTGGATCTGGCGCTGATGGAGCATTTGCCAAGAGCTCTTCGCATGGCAAGGCTGGGAGCGGTAAGCTCAAAGCTGCCAAGGTGGATTCTGCTAGTTTGCCTAAATCTTCTTCTCATCAGGCGTCTGTTGGAACTTCCCATTCTCTTCTCCCTCGCGGCACAAGCAAAGCTGCAACCAAGGCAGCGGGCACCACTCGTAATCCGAGCGTCACCGAGGGCTATGCGGACGCGGACGAGGGCAGCGCTATAGAACAGGCCAACGACGACGACGATGATGACGATGACGAGCCTCTGGCAGGCAACAAGAGCGCACCAGCTTTGCAGCTCGCCAACGGCAGCAATTCTGCCAAAGTCAGACGAGCCGCCGAATCGCTCTATTCCGATCGCGATGGGCGTTCGCCCAGCGAGAGCCAGTCGGAAGAGGGCGTCGCGAGCGAGTACGATGAGGAGGAGGAAGGTGCAATGCTGCGCTCCGTCAAGCCCAACGCTCCAAAGAGCGCACAGTCCCGCTCCTACGATAGCAGCGAGAGCGATAGCGATGCGCCCATGCAGGATCCCAAATGGCAGTCCAAACATGCTGCTGCTGCCAGCACCAGCGCTTCCAATTATGCCAAGGCCGCCCTCGTCAGATCCAAAGGCAGCGACGGCGAGTTTATAGACGTCGACTCGGCTTCGGAAAGCAGCGGTGATGATGACTCTTTCTAAATCACGAGCATAAAGGTTGCCCCCCTCCGCCCTCCACTTCCCGAACTGCGAAGCGAACTGACTGTCACGCACATGCTCTCGAGAACAGATCGTTTCGCATGCTGTACTCTTCATCTCCACGACCGCAGACTGCGCATCATCACAAATCAGCTTGGGGAGAGACGTTCAATTCTGATGCGCAATATTGTCGAGCTTTCGTAGCTTATGATTTGGCTAATAGTACAGTGAAGATGGCGTGTCGAAAGCGTCGTGGTAAAGAGGAGGAGGGCAGAAAGGTCAGAGAAGGACTAGAGTACCTGGGTCGATGAGCTTGCCACATCTGTCGAGTGTTTTGAGATCCGCGAACCTCTGGGGATACATTGCGCCCAACGCCTCGAAGGTCCGTCGAGCCTTGAGCGAGCAGAAAGGGGGGCAACTGTCAGCGAGCCATGCAGCCTGAGCTTGTTACGTCGTGCTGTATCGGAGCGATGGGCAGAATGGGGAGCGCTATGATGGGTCAAAGGTGTGCTGGTTGTCATGATTCGTAGGCACTACGTCGCCCTTCGAAAGCTGAGCCGAGTGTGGAGGGGTGTGCGATAGCAGGCCATCAGATAGCCCAGGTGAGGATAGAGTGGTGACGGAGAGGATGCCGATGTTGCAGAGCGGTGGCGTGGTTGTCGCGCTTGATACATCTTGATGGGATGCCAAGCACGCTTTGCAAGGCCAAGCCATGGAATGACCTAGGATTCCGTGTTTCGACCCTGCTCCTTCTTCTGCTGCTGTTGCCTCGTGAGCGACATGCGCCTTTTCGATACGCGCCCTTGATACCGAGGCCTTAGTAGTGAGACGGGTCGATGTCTATCGTACGCCATGTGAGACAATGCCGGTGGTAGGGTGAAGCCCCGAGAAGCAGGTCGTTTTGGCCTCGGGTTCAGCAATTACTCATGTCGTCGGATCGCGGATGGATTGCCGATCTATTCTACGTCGGCTATGCGCGCCCTCTGGGGAATAGCAAAGGAGGTCGAAGTGAGCGGTTCCCTGCCATGCAGACGAGGGTGTGACAGCGACGCACCTCGAGGATGAATTTGCCCTCCTTGTACTTTTCAGCTTGCACAAACGACTTTTCCTGCGATGCGGGCATCGAATACAGAACATCTTGAGCTTTTGCGCCACGATGAGCTGCGATGGGGATGCTTCCTCGCAGACGAGGTGGCACTCACGTATCTCCACCCCAACGAAGCGTTGCACCTGATGCAGAAGATATCCCTCACATTGTGAAGTCCAGTCGTCATGTGGCGATCCACGGCCTCTCCACATTCCACATTGACCACTTCTTCGAACAGGAAAGCTCGGCCTGTCGATCCGTTGAAGTTCTGTGTAGAGCAAGAGCCAGGGTTAGGCAATGTCAGCGCGTGCACCTTCGGAGCCTGATCGACAGACGAGCCCGCGAGAGCAGAGCAGAGCAGGTTCGGGTGTACGCACCTTGCTGATCAGGTTCTCGTTCGTGGCGAGATGAGTGCGACAAGTTACGCATCCATACACTTGCACGGGCGAAGCGAGGAATTGGGTGTGCTGAAATCCCATCCTGAGAAGCGATCGAGCGATGTGGATGTCGAGGAGCGCGGGCTGTGTGGAGGTTTGGCGGAAATGGGGGAATGCGTGGAGTCAAAGGATGCAGCAGCGCAGCGCAGCGCGTAGCTCGAAAGGCTTTGAATGACGAAGATGCGCCAGCTTGCAGGGGCCAAAAGGCCACGACTTGCGGGGTTAGGATGTCACATTCAGCGACTCGAGATTGGTGATTGATGGAGGGGTAGCGATGCTGGATGGGATGCGTGAGAGGGGAGGGTGCGCTGCTGGGGAGGGTGCGCCGGGGCGTGCACGACAGCTCGTCTTGCGTGCGGCTGAGCAGGCGCCCAAATTGCGCACCGCCGCACGCACGCACGCACGCACGCACGCCTTGAGCCCCTCCAGCACCGGGGCATCGCGTGCATATTATTAACACGCATGCAGCTGATGCATCGCGGCGGGTCCCGCGCGCCCTCGCACCCTACCAAGATCCATGCACGCAGCAGCATGTCCCTGCGGGGATCACGTGAATGAAAGTGCTTCATGCAAGTCAAACAGTCTTTGATCAGAGTTTTGAGTCAAAATTAAAGTCTTGATTTAGTCTTGAGTCAGAGTCGGTGAAGCAGTCACGTGAAACCAACACCACTTCAGCACGTGATGTGTCGATTTTGGCCTCGCTCGTCTCGCTGGTGGTGGCTCTGCAAGCGCGCGGGGCGGCAATTATATACGAGTGTGAGCATATACAATAACAGGCGCCCATGCAGATTTTAAACGGTAGAGGTGCATGCGCGGTCCGCCCATGTGCAAACAACAGCGCACCGCACCGCACCGCACAAGCAGCAGCGTCAACAGCTTTCTGTGCGCAGCGAAAGGGAGACCGCACGCAACGCCCGCACGCCCGCATACTAGCTATAGCTGCCTTGAGGATCCTCTTGTGTTGCCGTGGTGTGCGCGTGTGTGTGGAAGCAAATGTGAATTGAATGAATGAGTGTACACCGCGTGAGCCTGTATTGACGAGTCCAAGCAAGCAATTGGGAATTTTTGCATTTGCGCTCTGCCTTCCCACCTCATATACAAGAAGCTCCATCTCGCGCTCTTACACGCGCACTCAAAGCAACGCACTGCCGGTCCGCTCATCGTAGCAGCTCATCAATCACCTTGCAAGCCCTCAGAGCAACCTTGCCAAAGCTACACAAGCTGCAACTCCCGCAATCAACAATCCTTGCCACATCGCATCGATCACCTCGCGCCTCCAAATCCGCTCACGAGCCTCGAGTTTGGGACGAGCTTTGGCGTGCAGATCACACTTGTGCACCTTTGATAGCTAGCAAGATCGCACCATCACCTTGACAGACATTGACATTGTTGCAAAATGGCTACCTCGTTGCATTTTGGCCCTGAATGGATGCGCAGGGGACCAGGCAAGTCCGCTTCCAATGCCAACGCTTCGCAAGCAAACGGCAATGCGCCGGGTAGTGGTGGTGGTGGTGGTGGTGGTGGCGGCGCAGAGAACACCTCCAACCGATCTGTATCACCAGGTCGTCCTTCTTCGAATACCAGTGCCACCTCTGCCGGTGCTGCTGCTACTGCCGTGGGTAATGGACCGCTAGGGGCTCTGGGCTCTCTGCCCACTTCCACTCGACGCAACCCCAGCCTAGGAAACTTGTCGCATGCTGCCCCTTCCAGTCTTTCATCGCAATCTGGGCCTGGATCCACTTTGGGCTCACCAGCGGTATCCAGTCCCGGCCTATTCAGCTTTGCGGCAGCGGCGGCTGGAGGCGGTGGGGCTGTCGGATCAGGAGGAGGTGGTGGTAGTGCAGGTGGTGCAACAGGTAGTGCTGGTATCACGCCTGGCAACACCTCCAATAGCACTTTGGCTGCGGCTGCCGGTGGTGGAGGCGCTTCTTCTCAGCAGCCCAACAGCTCCTCACACCAGTCTGGAGCCAATGCTGATGCTGATTACAAGCTCTTGAGCTTGTACGGTGCAGACCCTCAGTCTAATGCCAATCCCAAAAGTCCTCTTCCCGATACGGGCAAGGAACATTGGTCGACTGTGGGGGTGGCAGAGAGAGGCAAGAAGAAGGTGAGTCACGAGTCTGGCCGCTTCGGCTATACCGCCCTTCAATGCGCGCTGGCTGACCCAACGCTTCCCTTCTTCTGACCAATGCAGCCGCTTGGTGGCATTCTGGACCGAGACAGGGATCTCTCCAGAAGAAATGCGGATACCGGAGGTCCATTGTCACCCGCGCTAGGAGGCGAGCCACGAGGTTTGAATACTCGAGCATTTTCTGGAAGCTCCACTGGTGTGGGCGAAGGTCGAAGATCCGGCTTATTCGGTCGAGGTCAAGGCGGCGGTGGGATCGGGGTCTTGAACGTCAATACAGGTTCGAGCGCTGGCAGTGGTCCTGTTTCAGGTTCGACCAATCCTATGAGTCCCAGTATGCCTCGCGAACGATTCTCGGGCATACAGGGTGGTGTGCTTGGGGGTGTCGCGCCTACGCGAAAGCGTCAAGACAGTGAAGGAGGCGGCAACAGCGCGACCAGTGAGTACGCTAGTCTCGGATGCGCATGTCTGTTCGAGTGTGACTGAGCTCATGTGGACTCTCACAGGTACGAGGATGCCACGACCACCGTCCGACGATGCCGAGCAAGGTCATGATCGTCGTCCCAGTCGTACCCGATTATCGATGGGTGCGCTGGGAGAAGTGGGAACGGCAGCGACAGATGCGGTCTCGTCACCACTGGAAACGCAGCCCGAAACGCCGCGTTCGGCTCTGCCAACACCTACTGGAGGCAGTCTGTCAGGCCGCTTCAAGAGAGATCGCATACCTGGCGAGGGACCAATCGGACCCAATGCCGATGGCAGCGCAGGCTTTGGCAAGTTCTCGTCCGTAGGCAGAAAGCGCGAACGTCAGTCAGCTGCGGCCGCAGCTGCTGTCTCTTCTGCCGAGCCTGGTCAGCAGGATACAACAGAGCATCAAGGCGTCGCGGAAACGGATGCCGCCGCTGGTGAGCCTGTGGACCAGAATTTGGCGGATCGAACCTCTTCATCGTTATCTCTTGCCAACTCTGGACCCTTGGACACTGTGCCCGATTCGTCAGCGAAGCTGCACACCGAAAATTTGAGTCATGCTGCCTCGGACGAGCCTACGCCAGCAGAATCGGCCGAGTGGTCTCCAGAGACCGAAACATGGTATTACAAGGATCCTTCGGGCACATCTCAAGGTCCGTTCCCGGCTACAACCATGCAGGACTGGTTCGAGCAGAGCTACTTTACTGGCGATCTTCCGATGCGACGAGGTGCAGAAGAGGAATTTGAGCCTTTGGCCAGCATACTCGCTGCTCTGGGCCATCCCGAAAAGCCTTTTTTGACGCCTCCTGTTGCAGCACCTTTAGCACCTTTGGCGCCGGAGGTGGAGCGATCAGCACAATCAGGCGATCAGTCGCAGCAGCAACCTCTTTTGGAGGACTCGGCCCCTCAGCACCTTCAGTCAGCTGCGGATCTCAATGTCGGTGCGGAACACGGAGACTCTGGACTCTCAAGAGACGTGCCTCAATCCGCAGAGGGTCTTGCTCCAGACGTGGGTGGGCGGCCATTTGATCAGTATGGCTCTTTCGGAACCCCAGGACAACAGGACCCGTCCGCAGCACATCCATGGGGGCCTAATGATCGTATGGGTCCGGGCTTCGGCTCCCACGCTTGGTCCCAGTCGAGCTTTGGTTTCGGTGGCGGACCTGGACCTCTTCCGCCGCAGTCGTTTGGAGAACACCACTCGCCCTTCCTGCAGCACGTGCAGCCTCCTCAATCTCCCTTTGGCGCACCCGCTGCTTTCGGACCACATGGACCTCGTGGCCAAGAGGAGTACTTGCACATGATACGGCAGAGGGAGCTTCAGGAGCAACGCCATGCAGCTGCAGCTGCTGCTGCTCGCGCTCAGGCTGGCTCCGGGTTGGGCTTTGCAGCGCCACCACATTACCTGAACGATGCCTTCGGTGCTCGTCCAGGTCAGGCATGGAATGACGTACCAGGCCCATGGTCTCACCAGGGCGTGCATGGCTTGCCAGGCCATCAGCTGCCGCCCTTCCAACACAACTCTTCTCCATTCGGAGCGTTCAACCCTCAAAGACAACCATCTTTCGACTCGGTAGGATCTCCATGGCGCTCTGCTGCGGTCCCCTCATTGCCTGACGGTGGCTTCAACCATCAACCCAATGATCAGCGAAGTGCGAGCCAGGTCTTCGATCAGGTCACTAACCCGATCGCGCCTGCAGATGCGAGTCATGAAGAGGCCCACCCGGCGCATCAGCAGACCGACGGAGCGTCGGTGCAGGCAGCAGCGACTCCTCCCGACGCACCCGCAGCAAGTCTGCCCACTCAGGCTCAAACTGAGATCGCTCTCGATCTTCCTCCTGCCGCGTCTTCGCCCTCTGCGCCGACTGTGGCGAATCCAGCTACCCCAACGCCTCCTGAACCAACGCCCGAGGAACTTTGGCCGCAGAGCCCTTCTGCTGTTGAGTTTGCTGCTGAACCGCGCCTCGCGGAGGAGCCAGCGCCTGCGCAAGCGATCTCTGAGGCTGACAGAGGCGATGGCAGCGAAACTTCGGTGCGCAACAAGCGGTCTCGACGCAAGCAGCAGCAACAAGCTTCGGAAGGTGCCCTCTCCGATACTGGCGCTACTGGCAAGGCTCCACGCGGCGCGGAGCAAGCAGGCGGTCTGAAGGTTCTGTCTCGTGAAGAATTTGAAAAAGCGCAGTCTGGTCAAGGCAAAGGTGCTGATCAAGGTCAGGCTTCAGCCGCTACTTGGCTTGTCGATTCGCCCTCAGGTGGGACTCCGACCGCATCGAAAGCTCCGTGGGCAAAGGATCAAGCGGAGAGCGGGACTGCGCCCGGAGGTTTGAGCCTTCGACAGATCCAGGAAGCTGAGCAACGTCAGGCGGAGATGCGCCGAGCCGCAGAAAGAGCTGATGCAGCGCAGCGAATCAAGACTTCTTCTGCGGCCAGCGATGCTCTGCCGACTACGATGCGATGGGGTCTTGCTAGCGGTCATGCGCACGGAGCACCACCATCGGTCGAGGATGCCCGAGCCTCTACGCCAACAACTTCGGCTGCTCCGGCCTGGAACACCTCGACGAGTGCGTCTAAGAAAAAGACTCTGATGCAGATTCAGGAAGAGGAGCAAAAGAGAGCTGCGAAGGCCAAGGAGGCGCAAGCGGCTCAGCAAGCCGCTTTGCAGCGCGGTTACGCCGACTCTGCTACGCGCCAGACTGCACCTGCTCCAGCTGTCAGCCAAGGCGGCGGCTGGAGCGTGGTGGGGGCCAAGTCTGCAGCTACGAACAGTCCTGTTGTCGCGACTGCTGCGCGACCTGCTGGCGCATCTGCAAGCGCTCGAGCTGTCAGCTTGAACAGCCCTGCAGCGGGAGCCTGGGTTGCTGGCACGGCCAAGCAGAACGGAGCAGTCGCCGCGCCTGCCAGGTCCTCCGTTACGAGCTCGCCTGCCGTATCGAAGGCCAAGACTGCCTCGTCGAGCGCAGCTGGAGAGTCGGGCAACGACCAGCCCAGCGCGGAATTCCTCAAGTATCTCAAAGATCAGCTCAAAGGCCTGAACGTCAAGGGTGAGTTTTCCCGAATTTTGGCTGCGCTGTCAACCTTGCCCCGGCGGCTCTATACTGACCACAAGGCGATTTCTCTTTTAATTATCGCGACGACGCAATAATAGTGGAAGACTTTGTCGAGATGCTGCTCTCTTTTCCGCTCGATCCCTCACCAGACGTGGTGGAGATTATTGCGGAATCCGTCTATGCGAACAGCAGCACGATGGACGGTCGAAGGTTCGCAGCCGACTTTGTGGCGAAGCGCAAGATGGATGCTCAGAGCGGACGAGGGGTTGGTGCGGGCGTGGGCGGCGGAGGAGGAGGATGGAGCGGACGCGGCGGGGCGCTTGGCTTTGGCATGCCGAACGGGCAGGGAAGCATGGGACGAAGCACTAGCGAATCTTTTGGTGCTGCTGCGGGTGTTGGAGGCGGCGCGAGATCGTCTGCTGCTGCCCACGTTGCCGCTGGTGCAACGGCCGGCTCAAGCGCCAACGACTTTGCAGGTTTCAAGGTGGTCAAGGCCAAAGGTGGCAAGAAGGGCGGTAGAGCATGAAGGGGGAAAAATAGGGGGCGAAAGCAAAAAGGGCCACCCCGTGCGCGTAGCCTAGCTTTCGCGAAGAGGCCAAAAAGCGACAAAGGAGCCAGCTACTTTTGCAAACTTATCTGTTGCCCTCGCCCACACGACGAAATGAAAATGATTTTTTTTCCTCCGCTCTTTTCCTCCCTTTAGGAAGCGTATTGGATTGACGAGATGGAACGTGGTCGAGACGCGAGTTTTACATGTGAATGTTTGGGAGGGGGCGGGGCAACGGGAAGGTTGATGCGAGTCCTATGGCCCGTGGAACTGAGCGCTTGCACAAATGCGGAAAAAAGAAAGAAAAAAGACACCAGCTGAAAGTGTGGGAGTGGGGGAGCACAACCTTACCAAGCCTCCCACTGTTGTTTGCCAAGGGATACGAGACGATTAAAGACCTCATCTCGGCGAGGCAGGGCGGACAATATGAACGTCTGACCGCTGCTCGTCTCGATCTCCAGACCATCAGCAACGACGCTATCCAGCGCCCATCCAACGAGCAATTTGCCCGTGATGCCCAAGCCTCCCAATTTCTTTACGCTGCGAATCTCGTCGATCTGCAAGCTAAAGAGGGGCGCAGGTCTAGCCTTTTCCGCCAAATCCGCCAACTTCTTCGCAGCTTCCCCATCCTCCTCCTCCTTGCCATCCGCTCGAGATGCTGCTGCCGCTGCTTCGGCCGCTGCCAATGCAGCTCGAGCATGGGCAGGTTGACGCTTTTCAAAAGAGACGCATGGCGTGGTGGCGGTGGTGCTAATGAGCAGCAGACCTCTTTTGCCCTTGAACCTGGCGTGAAAGGAAGAAGGACCATCGCCAGAAGCTTCCGGTCCCAACGTCTTCTTCACCACGCCCACCTTGCGTTTCGCCACCTCCACACCCACGCTAGCTTTGACCCGATTGGCCCCCAAAGCAGTCTCGGTCGCACCAGCAGTGGTGCCTTTGAGGAAACGCAAGAATCGAGAACCTTTTTTCGCCTTTTGCTTTCCCGAAGAGGTATCACCTCCCGAAACTTCTTCCTCCTCCTCTTCTTTTTGCTCCTGCGCTGCCTCTCTCAACTGCTCCTTGTACTCTGGCGGAAGATTCGAGTCGTCGGCCATCTCGTGGCCCTCTAGAGCCTCCGGTTCCGGCGCAACGTTGGAAGGCGGCGGAGGTGGGAGCGGCGACTTGTTGGCCTCTCCAATACGAAGCAAGGTAATGGTGAGCTGAGCATTGGTGGGTACGCCCTTTAGGATGCTGTTCCTCAATTCGAGGTACTCCTTCCAATTGGGAACCTTTTCATCCAAAAGCTTTCGAAGGTCGGAAATGGCCAGCTTATCGAACAGAGGTTGAGCGAAAAAGGCGAATCCTAGGCCGGCCGTGGTGCCTCGGTAGACGACGTAAATGGAGGTAAAGTAGGAGACCACGACCAAGGGTGCTAGGATTCCTCCCAAAAAGGCGCGCGCCCGATGCCGCGAAAAGGGAGCCATGGGTGACAGCGCATTGCCGAATCGTTCCCACGTGTCTGCCAAGTCCTGTGTGCGACGGAAAATAGGGGGCCGAAAACTTCAGCGAGGCAGCATCAACCCCAGCACCAAGCCGACAGGAAGCTCCTCGCTCACCTCTAGAGCGTGCAGAAAGGGTTGCATGGTGTTCCAGAGCGATTGGTCCACAGCAGCAGCGGCAGTCTGGGATGTGCCCTTGTCATCGGCAGTGGTGGCATCTTGAGCGGCATGAGCGGAGGAGGTGAGAGCAGCGACTGGCTCCTCCACCTTGACTTGTCCATCCTTTTCACTGATGCTGTAATTCTCCGAATCCTCGTCGCTCTCCTCTTGGCCGCCTGCTTTTGCCTTTGCATCGCCCGTGCTCTGATGACCGCCTCCTATGGCGGTGCTCACTGCCAATTTCGAGATGCTCTTGACGGCATGTTCTGCTTCCTTTTCCGCCGCTTCCCCCTGGTAGCTCTCCTTTGCCCCTGTAAGGCTCTCGCTACCCAAATGACCAGCTTTCGGCACCTTGGCTTCCCCAGTCTTGGCAGAGATGGCGGCCAATGGAGCTGGGGGAAAGAGGACGCGCCTGGAACGAGGAGAGACCAAAAGCAGCACGACAAAGGAGATCAGGGCAGGCACGACAATGTCCAAGAGCCATGCGAGCGCGTATGTGCCCGCAAAGACGGCGGTGCGCCTCTGCTCGTGCCATGAACGAATGCGGGCAATGTGCTTGAAGAAGCTGGCGAATCCGAGACCGACTGTGAGGTATATGCGCTCCAAGGTGCTCTTTAGCTTCTCGGGAGAGAAGGGGTCCTGAACGACGCAAGCACGAAGAAGATATGGTGTCAGCTGCGCTTCCAGGGTAAGGCCGCATGGGGGGAGCACCCGTTTGCTCACCTTGTCGGCGATGTTGAGATCCATGCCTCCGGGCGGGGGTCGCTCAATGAACTTGACATGCGCCACCGACTGTGGGCCAGAAGATGCAGGTCAGCAAGACGGCAAGGCAAGCAGCAGCACTTGCTACAACAACAACAACAATGATGCCGCGCCCCCAATACGCATCGCGCACTCACATTGTTGAATCGACGAATGAGTTGCCAGAGCTCTTCATTCTTGATGCTGTGCAGGACGCTGGACGGGGAGCGGAAAGAAAAGAGGCGATGCTGCGCGGCTAAGCTGTGTTCTCTGGTGGTGATGGCGAAAAGGTTTGATCGCAAAAGCTACGCACGGCACTGGCACTTTTGGATCCTGGCTCCAGCCCAAGTCATCGATTCCAGGATCTACTGCTCGCTGAATGAAGTGCAAGGAGGAGGATGATGGAAGGGCGTGGAGGAATCAGCGCTAAATAATGCCCTCCTTTGCAAGCTCTTGCCTGACTGTTCTCTCGTTGCTCACTTCGGTATCGCCTACAGCCAGAGCAGGGACCTGTTCCGCATGAGCACCGTGCATATCCTTGACGTGATCCGGTGCCACGCGAGCCTTTGGCATTTCCTCTCTGCTCATCTCTGCTTGGTGAGGATGTTGAGCATCGGCATCAGCTTGCGCGCTGGCTGTGCCCAACGCCTTTGAGATCAGCGAAGGCTCGGCAGCAGGCCAAGCGGACGAGGACAGAGCTCCGTTGGCACCTTTCACGACCTCGCCGCTGGCTGATCGACTCTCCGAGGCGCTCATCTTGAGCTTAGTCGCAGGCAATGGTGAATGCTGAGGTTTCAGCACTGGTGTCCGTGGTGGTGGGAAAGAGGTCGTGGTGATGATGGAGGGGGAAATGTCGAACGTTAGTGTGCGCGTGGATGCTCTTCCTGCGCGCTTCGAGCAGCTTGTTGCTTATCTGCTAACGCTGCTGCTCACGCTGCTGCTGCTGCTGCTGCTGCTGATGATGATGCTGCATACATGCGATGCCTCCTCATGAGGTATAGGATCTGAGCCAAATCGCAAATCTTGAATCACGAATCAGCTGCCGCGCTGCGCTCCTCGTATGAGACCCTGACGTCATCTCGGCTCGGCTCAGCTTGCATGCGAGCGCGTCCATATACATGACGATTTCATTCACAATTTGATTACGATGTATACATCTTCAAGATTAGATCGATTTCCTTGATTTCAACTTCCCACGCCTTTGTGCGTGCGTGCGTGCGTGCGCGTGTGCGAAAATCAGACAGGATCGACAAAGCATTAGGTTGAGGTGCGATCAAGTCACGTGCACGGGCATAGCGTATCCAAAGTCGTGGCCACGCAATCATTATTATAATATTGAATCGTGGATTGAATCTTGAATCACGAATCTACGACCCCGGCATGCAGTATGGGGAGAAGCATTTGATCCACGACTAGCAGGGCGCAGGCTGGATGGCAGATATGGCAGCCCCTTTTGCCTGTCTTTGCCCCATCCTCTCGCTCCATGGATATGCTGCGCATGACGCCATGCGCTGGAAGGTGCAGCCTCTACTCTTGCGGCTTGGAGACGCTCTTTGATGCTCAGCAGAAGAGCAAAGGAGGAGCGAGGGTGGTACATGTGCATGCTGAGACGATCTCTATAGCTGCCTAGCTAGCATTTCACGATCCTCAAAGCTCAATTTAGCTGGCAAAGCCTTGCAGATCAAACCCTCAATTCTTGCATGCTGATCTGCAAGCTCGGCAAAACCACTTTCGCTGATTGACTTGCCTTCTGATTCAAATTGCATGGATCAAGATCCGAGAGACGATCGAGGTGTGCAGCGCCTCTTCTCATAAATGCAGCTCAGTCATGCCTATACCGAGCCGGTTGTCAGCTCGTATGAGAGCTTTACAAATGCGTTGCCTTGATTCACATTGAATTGCTGCTCGCGTCTAATCGCAGCGCATTCATGCAGGCATTGTTGACTCAGACTTGATCTTCGAATCGCTCCACTAGACATGAACAGCAGCCCGTCTTACCATCACGCAGCGAGAGGCTGGGAAGAGCCACGTACGCTGCACTATGTCGTCTTGGCTCGTCCAACTTCTGGAGCATTCGTGATTGTTAATTTGAATTGCCCTGCGCAGGAGACTTTGGGCGGGCAGGGCGCCTTTTGCAATTGAGCTGCCGCGTACGCACCGCACCGCACCGCATTGCGCAGTCGTGACGGGTCACGAGTCGTGATCACACCACCGCACCGCACCGCACCGCACCCCACCGCAGAGATGATCGGCGATCAAACGTCAACGTCGTCGGTCCGACGCGCGCGCGTGACGGGCATTATGGAGATTCACGATTTGCACCGAAGAAGCGCCGCTGCGAAGCGGTGCGTGCGTGTGTGCGTGGGGTGGTGAGTGAGTGTTGCGTGGGCATGCATGCATGCAGCAGCCGCCATGTTTGACTCACGACTGCTCTTAGCATTCAAATTCGCAACGTGAGGCTGTGGAGTCAGTCACGCACAGGCCCAGGCTGGCTGGCTGCAAGATGTGGGAGTGCATCGTGGCCGCTAGACCACAGCTCAATTCAGAGGGAGCAAAGGGGGAACACCGAGCCAAATCGTGATCGAGCGACGAGGGCGAGTGTGTTGCGTTGCATGCTTTGAGGTGGACGTGGACGTGGATGTGAAGGCGAACACCGTGTTGGGGGGAAGAAGCCCGCCCGCGCTGGTGAGGATCACAGCATGTATAAGACGAAGAGGATGCAAGCATGCCCTCCTTCCATCTCAACCCCCATCCCACCAACGTCGACCATACCGCAATCGCACTCACAGCCTCACTCTTCACTCCCTCTTCACCCCCAAGCGACATCATGTCCGCACCGCTCCACATTCCTCCCGAGCAGCGCTACGCAGCGGCCGATGCCAAGTACGCCTCTACGCTATCCACGCTATCGGAAAAGCAAAAGATGCTAGCCGGCTTGCCCTACGATCCCTCGGATGCCGATTTGCGCAAAGCCATCTATCGCGTGCGCAAGCTCTTCAGAACGTTCAACTCGAGCGAAGGCAGGGATGAGCAGGATGGCAACCCCGCCATGACGACGGAGAGGAGGCAACTGTTTGCGCAGATCTTGGGAGTGCAGGAAGAGCAAATGGCTAGCAATGTTTACGTCGAGCCGCCCTTTTGGTGGTGAGTTCGCCCTCCGAGAGTATGAAGCTCCGGCATTCGTAGCATACACGCGCGCAGAGTTGTTTGACTGACAGCGGCCACGGCCGATTCCCCTTGCTCCAACCTTTATGCCCGCGCGTGTGCGCACCGCATCCAGCGATTATGGAACGAATATCAAGCTTCAAGGCAACTTTTACTGCAAGTGAGTCACCCCGACGTACGAGTGGGAAGCAGCTAGCTGCTCCCTGCAATGCGCCCCATGTCCACGAGGGAGCCGACTTTGGGGCTCACCTTGCTCGACGGACCCCCTCGCGTTGGCCTGCTGGCAGCTTCAATACGACGATTCTGGATTGCGCAGAGGTCATCATAGGCGATGGAGTGCTGTTCGGTCCAAAGTGAGTGGGAGGGGCAGAGCGAGACATGTCGATCGTGCATTGGCTATCCGCGTCTCACGTCGACCCCGCTTCAACCTCGCGCAACGTCGAAAGCGTGCATCTGTACGCCGGCACGCACACCACCTCGGTGCCGGAAAGGCTGGCAGGTCTGGAAAGAGCATTGCCCATCGAGATCGGTCGAGACAGTTGGATGTGCGTTTATTTGCCGCCCCGTGAGCTAACCTCCTTTGCCAACTCTTGTCGTTGCTCACGTCTCTCTCTCTCTCTCTCTCTCTCTCTCTCTCTCTCTCTCTCTCTCTCTCTCTCTCTCTCTCTCTCTCTCTCTCTCTCTCACACACACATCCAGCGGAGGAAATGTGACGATCATGGCGGGCGTCACCATCGGCCGAGGCTGCACCATAGGCGCAGGAAGCACAGTGACCAAATCCATTCCCGATTGGTCCATCGCACTGGGAAGCCCGGCAAAAGTGCTCAGAACGCTCTCGGAACAAGAGAGGGGGGATGTCAACCAAAAGGCCAATTGGGGGTGGGCAGAAAAGGCCGCTGCTAGTGCTGGCGATGATGCTGCCAAGAAGGAAAAGGAGATCTGAACTTGCGTAGCTGCACCACCACTCGACAGCGAGACCGCAATCATAGATGTCTGCCGTGGGGCGCGCACAGTAGAGCGCAAGATCGAAAAATATGATTTCCTGCCTTTGATAGCTGCGAGCGGGACTGCGGTTGGGTGACGAGGGCAAAGGAAGCAGAGCGCGCTCATGAGGGCGAGTAGCGGAGTGACGTGACGCAATCTATACGACGGGAACGGCAGATGACGGAGGGGCAGGCATGTGGCTCGTCGGCACGCTCTCTTATGCCTCCACCCGTTGAAATTGAGTCGGATCGTTGTTATCTGGAAAGACCGCAAAATGTGTGCTAGATCAGCAACGAAGAGTAGGGGAAATAGAGAGAGAGAGAGAGAGAGAGAGAGAGAGAGAGAGGTGCAGGCGTGTGCCTCTTTGGGGACCCCCTGGGGCGAGCATACGCCTCCTTTTCCTCTTCTCGTAGGCGAGGCTGCACTATAACTCGCATCACGAGCAGCCAGAAAAGAACAAAGAGACAAAACGAAAAAAACTCACACTTGAGCTCATCCAGCGCGACCACACAGCTCTCCCTGACCACTCTAGGCGCCTCCTCATCCTCTGCCCATCTACGCAATTCGCCAAGCACGCTCTTCAAACACTTCCCAGCAGCAGCAGCAGCTTCTCCCTCCTCCTCATCATCTCCTCCCTCTCCCTCTTCCGATGCATCTTCGGCCACAGCGCCCAACGCCTCTGCAGCTTCGTGTCGCACCATTTCGTGCTCCGAGGTATCGGAGAGCACGCGAAGCATGCTGGGCACGCTTGCTGGGTGAGCCAATTCGCCAAAGACGAAGCAGATTTCGTGTCTGGTTGAAGAGCGCCGGAGAAGCGGAATGCGAGGGGGGGGGGGGGGGGGGGGGGGGGTCGCAAGTCAGCTCATTTCTTTTGGTTGGCATCGCGGAGCGTGTTGAGGGAGCATCTGCGAGGAGGGAGGAGGGCAGGGCACCTCCTCGCGATTGACACTGACCTGAACAAGGCGCTCTGATCCTCCAATCCATCAGCCAGCGCCAAGATTGCCTTCTTTGCAAGCTCCTCGTGCGTGGCTCTCTCCTCTCTCGAAAGACCCTTTTCATCCGCTTCCTTTCTCGATGCGTGCACAGCGTCTCGCAGGGCGAACATGGCCCTGTAGCGTTGAAAAAGCTGAGCTTGAGAGTCGGTCAAGACGGCGCGGGAAGCGGAGATTGTTGCTGAGAGGGACTGGGAGGAGGACAGGGCGGGAGCGGGGTCGATGGGCGCGAAAGATCTGCCGGCGGCGCGGGTGGGGAAGCATGAAGAGGGGCGGGTCGGTCAGCCTGTCTTGCAAAATTACAATCATGTCGCATCCACGACGTCGCTGCCGCATGTCGCACCACATCACAGACAAGAGCCCCTCACTCACGCAGTCTTGCCCTCCTTGGCCCTCTTCTTCGCATCTTCCCTCCCCTCCACCGACTGATCCCACTCGATCTTGCGAATAGCCAAATCGCACGTCTCCCTCACGCTCACATCTCCGTCTTGCAGATAAGTCCTGAGAACAGGCAAAGCTTTGGGATGTCCGATGGCGCCAAGCGCTTCTGCCGCTTCGTGTCTGACCATGGCATGTTCCTCCTGCTGCTGCAGCACGCTGATCAGCACGGCGATGGCCTGCTCATCTTGAATCTGACCCAGCACATACGCCACTTCGTGCTTGAGCAGCGCACTATCGTCGGAGAATGCTGCACCGATAGCTTCCAGGATGGAGCTCTTGTCGGAGGTGGAGATGGAGGAGGAGCAGGCGAGACCTTTGAGAGTGAATAGAGCGCGAAAACGCGCGTCTAGCGGGTTGGTGGAGGATGAGTTGAGCAGGGTGCTCCGCAGAGAAGAGATGGAAGGCGCGCCTTTCATGGTCTCTTTCGCTTGTGAGTGTGCGAAGGGAATGTGATCGCGACGGAATGCGATCGGATGAGTGATGGTGCGTGTGTGTGCGTGAGGGGGAGTCGAGTGTCGAGTGTACGTGAGGATGATTTGATCGACTTGCAACCCAAGAAATTCAAATTCAAATTTCCTCGATGAGCACGCACGCACGCACGCACGCACGCACGCACGCAGCAAGTCATTCTTTTGATTCTGATTCGTGATTGCTGATTCTAATCGCGCTCATTCACCGAAAAAATCGGCATTCTTCTCGCGCGAGAGAGCAGTCACTAAGGCACGCGTTCTTGATGTATGTACGGGTCCCCAACGTATCGTATCGTATGCTCTGAACGGCTCAGTGGCGCCGCGGGTAAAGGGTTGTGTTACAATTCTGCACCTGATGGCCCCTCACCATGCACATACATCCATTTGGTGGCCACCCTGGGTTCAATTCCCAGCGGATGCGCATGGTGGTGGATTGTGCCACCTAGCATAGCCCAAGGACTGCTTCATGTGGCTCAGGTCGGCACCCCCCGCAAATCCCAACGCGTACGGGAGAAAATTCCCGCCTTCCTCGTATCGAGCAGTACAGGTGATTGTGGCCTTGGAACAGCATGCTAGGTGGGGTTGGTCACAAATTCACCTGGAAGACCCTAAAACAAAATAAAAACAAAAAATGAGCAATATTCTAATCGCGCTCATTCACCGCGAAAGATCGCATTCATCTCGCGCGAGAGAGCCAGTCACAACGGCCGCGCGCGCTGTTTTGAAGCGCTGCGCTCACGCATGCATGCATGCAGCAGGCGGCCATGGATTCACGATTCTTGATTTGCGCGCATCGCCTAAAAGTCACGAGTCACAAAGCATACAGCTTCATGCCCTTCATGCATCGACATTCACATTCACGATCCATTCGCACTCACGCTACACAGCAGCAGAGGTGGAAAGTAGTTGCAACGACGGCGTCCCTTTCCCTTCCTTCTCTCCCCACCTTGCCCCCCTTCTGGCGTTGCATCCCAGACCACTCACGCAGAGACAGCCACCCAGCATGCCACCTCCTCCACCTCGACGTAGTCGTCGAGCAGTTCCAGCTCCAGCTGCAGCAAGCCAAGATGCTCCTCCTCCGCCGCCGCCGCCGCCGCCGCCCTCCTCGTCTTCTCAAGCGCAAGTCGATCAGCTGATCTCCAGCAGCGCAGCGCCTGCATCCACTCCCGCCATCAACATCAACATTCACGCCGACAGCGATGCGCGCACCGCTTCACCCGCCTTTTCCAGTCCACATCCAGCATCAGCATCAGCATCAGCATCAGCATCAGCATCAGCATCAGCAATCTCCCTCTCAAATCCTCGCGCCGCTTCTTCTTCCACCACCACCGCTCTCGCGCCCAACGCCAGCGCATCATCAGGCGCAACGATTGCACCCTCACCCTCACCTGCACCTAGCCAGTCTCGTTCAACCACAGCCAGCATGGTCCCTCTCCCTAGAAACTTTGGCGGCGCTCCCAGCAGCAGCAGCAGCGGCGGCGGCGCGAGACCCACACCGTCGGGACAAAAGATGATCTTTAAACCAGTCATGCCAGTCAGGCGAAAACCTGCCCCAGAGTGAGGATGCATGCGCAGACAAGTCGTGAAGCACCACCAGCGAGGTGCATGGCACTGACCAAGCGTTTTTTGCCTCTCCCTCCCACCCGCGAACCGGCTTGCACTTCTCGCTGTAGACCCGTGGTGAAACAAGTGGGTCTGAATGTGCTCGCTGTGCCGTTGAGCCGCGTGTGTTTCCGTGTGCGCTGAAAACAAATACTTCCGGTGTTCGCCTTTGCAGGAAGCTTCTTCGTCCGGCTCGGGTACTGGAGGGCCTCCATTCGGTCGAGGACGAGGACGAGGAGGAACAGGGTACGCCTCGGGTCGAGGAGTAGGGGGAGGAGGGGGAGGAGGAGCTGGTGGTGGTCGCGGAAGAGGGCGAGGCGGACCTGGCGGAGGGGCACCTCGCTTCGTTCCTCCCGAAATGGTAGCCACTGGGCCTTTTGCACTGGGCACGGGCGCGATCGGCAGATCATCATCCAACCGACGTCCGGTTTCCAGCGGTTATTCGTTTGGAGCGGGAGCAGGCTCGAGCGGAACTGCGCCGGGCCAAGGATTGAAATCGGAGGGGTCTCAAAGGTACAGAGATCCGGACCAGCTCAAGGATAGGGAAGAGTATAGCGATGCCGAGGATGGAGGAGTGGAGATCATAGATATGGACGAGGTTCACTCGTTGGACTCTTCGGCACCTAGAGCGCTACCCAGGATGAAGGAAAAGGAAGAGAGGGCAAAGAGGTTGGCCAAGAAGAGGGAGGAGAAGGCTAAGCGGGAGAAAGCGGACGAGTCAAAGACCAGCGACGGCATGGGGAGCAAGAATGTCAAGGGAGCGGCAGGCGCGGGCGGAGATGAGGGGATGGGTAGCGGCACGTCTACTCCAGCATCTGGCGTATCCCTCGGCATCAAACCTGACCCTGCAGATGAAGAGGCGGAGGCGGCCAAGGCTGCCGCGGAAGATTCGGCGCGTGTGGAGGAGGAGGAGGAGGAGGACGAGACGGCGGCTGCTAATGCTCTGGATCTCAGCGCCAGCGAGGACGAAGAGACTCCAGACGATCTGCTAGACGATTTCTTGCCTCTGGACGATATGAACCAAGGCGATGTGAGTGGGAGCAAGGGTGCGAGCAGCGCGAGCAGCGCGCGGATTTCAAAGGCGTTTCATCGCCAGTCGGGGGCATTTTTCAGACGCTGCGTGCCGTTGAGCTGATCCTTTGGCACGATTTCGTGACTCTATTTGCCCCCGCCCAAATGATACAGGGTCCCGAAAATCGTCTGTACCTGTTTCAATTCCCTACCCTCTTGCCAGCCTTTGTGCCTGCTTCGGGCGCGGGCGCGGGCGCGGACGAGGAGACGAGCGGCGCGACGACGCACGGTCCTTTGAGCGCGAACGCGAGCAATGCGAGCAAGACGAAGCGAGCAGTCTCTTTTGCGGATGGAGGGGACAAGGAGATCAAAAAGGAAAAGGGCGGCGGCAGCAGCACGTCGAACGGACTGAATGGCGATTCTGAGGAGGCTAAAGGCAGGCGGGTGAATGGAGTGGGCAATGGAAGGGGAATGGTCGAGGGACAAGCGGGAAAGTTGGATGTGTACAAGGATGGACGCGTCATGTTCAGGTATGGAAAGGTGGTGATGGAGGTGACGGGAGGAAGTCAGAGCACCTTTTTGCAGCACGTCATGGTGCTGGATGCGGCCAAGGAGAGCGCAGTGACGCTGGGCGAGCTGCATCGCAAATTCGTCGTTACGCCGGAATTGGAGAGCATGCTGAAGGATGTGTCGTTGGCCGAGGAGGAGGATAGGCGGGCCAAGGAAGAGCAGGAGCTGGAGGATCGGGACTAGCGCGAGCGAGCGAGCGAGCGAGAGAGCGACCAAACCCGCAGCGAGCAGCGAGGACCAATGCGATCACAAGATTTGCGCGGTCGGTCGACAACGCCTCGCGAAATCGGCATCCCGCTCCGGCTTTGCAATGCCATGCCATTTCTCGATTCATATCACGCGAGCCTTGAGCAGTATACCCGCGAATCTGGCGCGCCAAGAGTGGGCATGTGGGCAGGTCAGTCAGCGTGCGAGATGGTCTGACTGATGCGCAGCCAAAGCGCAGATGCAGAGGCGTGGAGCAAGTCTTGCACAACTCACTCGTCTATGCCTACGCTGTCCCTACCCTCGCTGTTCGTCTTGGGTCGCGCATGACCGGTGCACGAAGCCCACAATAGCGAGCCTTCAGAGATCATCTCTTCGATCTGTGTGTTGTGTGTGTGCGTGTGTGTGTGCGCGCGATGGGGATGGAGAAATGTAAAAGGCAAGAAGGGGAGAGGGGGTTAGATGCGGGCGCTCTCCGGGTCACATCAGATGAACTGCATCGGCGTCTGGAACTTGCTGCGCGCGCCCGAAATTCATTTCGCCTATACATGCCATCATGATGGGGCAAGGGACAAACGCCACCCCCCCGCGCGCGCGCGCGTTGAAGATGAGTGGGCCTTGTGCGAGCCCCAGCGCGCAACAGCTCACCTCTGTTTCGCCCATCTTTTCTCCCAAACCCTTGATGATGGACCCGAGCTGCTCGACATTGATGCGCACGTCTCTTGTCCCACGAGACGACGATTGCCTCCTTGTCGTCGTCGCGTTGGGCAACCTCTGCACCAAGAGTTCCCAGGCAGCCGATACGAATTCCCTCTGATCTTCATTCAGCATCAGCTCCTCCTCTGCACTTTTTTGCGCATCTCCGTCGTGTTGCTGCTGCTGCTGCTGCTGCGTGCCTGGTCTTGCCGCCTTGCCCTTGCCCTTGCCATTCGCACCGCTCCCTCCACCCGCTCTGCTCTTAGCACCATCCTCCATCCTTTTGCCTGGCCGTCGACCGCGCTTCTCCCCCGCAAAAGACTCGTCGTCGCTCCCCTCTTCTTGCTGATCCTCCTGCTCCTCCTCCTCTTCGCTCTGCTCGTACCTCTCGCCGTCCGATTCATCAGAGCCTGAAGAAGCTTGCGCTTCGTACATGGCCAAACGAGAAGGTCTCGCTCTCCTGCTAGGTCTTGCTGCTGCTGCTGCTGCAGAGAAAGACGCCGACTCTGCAACAGGCTGCCGCACCTCCTCCACCTCCGCATCCGACGCAATTCTTGAGCTTTCTGCTGCCGACTTGATCTCGTTTCGACGTCGTCGTTTGGAGGTTGACTGCTCTGCGGCGTGATGCTCAGCGATGGGTGCCGCGGGCAATCGTCTACGACGCCTTCTGCTCGAGTCTTGCAACGCGTCCTCCTCCTCCTCCTCCTCCTCCTCCTCCTCCTCCTCCTCCTCTTCACCCTCCTGATCTTCTCCTTCAGATCGCTCCCGCTCCCGTGCCTGCTCTAAAAGCACACTGACAACCTGCTCGAATTGATCCCTATGCACCACCTTTTCCTCCTCCACCACCCGCATCGCCTCTCCTCTTCTCCTCCTTGTCGTCGCAGAAGCAGGCAGCGCGCGCTGAGCCGTCTGTTCAAACAGATGCAACACTTGACGATCCGAATGCGACAGGCCTAGAGTGGCTAGGGCTTGAGGAATATAGGATAGCGGCAGGTAGACGGGCGGGGGTACAGATGCTATCGCGCTGGCGCTGACTGGAATGCGAGCACCCGCACCCGCACCCGCACCCGCACCCGCACCCGCACCTGCATCCGCCTCTCCATCTTGCCACTCCGATGCCTTGGGTATGAAGCTGCGCGCGGAGAGATGAGCAACGTCGGAATCAGAGACGTACGAGGTGTCATCTTCAACCAAGAATCCACCCGCCGCCGCTGCAACTTGCTCCTGCTCCTGCTCCTGCTCCTGCTCCTGCTCCTGCTCCTGCTCCTGCTCTTGCTCCACCTCATCCAGCAAGAAGCCGCCGGCTGGTGCATCTCCTCCTGCTCCGCTCTCGCCTAAAGCTGCAGCTCCATCTCGTGCTCCATCTCGTGCTACATATCGTGCTCCATCTCGTGCTCGCGCTCCTGCTCCTGCTCGTGAAGAGGATGCCAAAGGATTGGGCAATAAAGATGCATCGTCGCCCGCTTGTATGCGGTAAGATCTGAAAGCGTCGATGAAGGCGTCGGAAGCGGAGACGAATGGAGCAGCATCAGCGCCAAAGCCCGATTTGGGGTGCTTCGTTTTGCTTTTGCTGCTGCTCGACATGGCGTCTGAAGAGGGGTGAAGGGGGAAGGGGAAGGGGAAGGGGAAGGGGAAGGGGAAGGGG